CCAGGTAAATAATCCCTCCCGCTCACAAACGTGCACGACTTATTCTGCGACTTTTTTTTCAGGAGGAGTACGAGGACTCGAGTGGAAACGTGGTGAACAAGAAGACGTACGAGGATCTGAAGAGGCAGGGTTTGCTGTAGAGGCGCACAGAGGAAATGAAGAGATGTGACTTCTACGGAGCGTCCTCTAAAATGTGTTTGTTTTTTTTTTGTTTTTCTTTTTCGTAAGTTTTTCTTTTTATTTGTAAGTAAGTAGTGATGTTGTTTTACACGCTGTCCCATCCTCCATCCCTCCCTTTGATAACTTTGTAACGTGACAAACGTTGATTACCGTAATAAACGCAGAACTTTTGACGCCGTGCTGTTTTTTTTTTGTCCTTTATCACCTTCGTCGTCACTCGTTCGGCTTCGGCTCGTGAATCAGGGTTTATCTGCTGCTGCACCGACACACACACACCTCTGTGAGTGTGTGCCGGATTTATTGGTGCCACTGGCTGTGTTTGAACTCTTGTTTACTACTGTGATTTTATAGTGGCATTAAACGCTTGAGGGATGCATTAAATTATGACAGTCATAAATCAATTGTTTTTCACGTTTCTCATGTTGCAGCCGTATGCTAAAAAAGATATTGGGTTTTTCTTTTTTTCCCCTCAACAATCTCCACTCTCATTATCATAATTATTATAATCGAGAAGAGAACCACATGCTGTTATTTTGTGATGACAGACGACTCTCTCAGCTGGCAGGTCGTCTCTTGCTGCAGATGAACGAGTCACACATCGTCCTGTCTGATGTACACTCCTGTGAAAATGTCACGGGAACCTTGCCAGCGTCGGCCTCTGGCAGCGATCCAGCGCTGGTTCCTCTGAATTCCTCTGGGCTTGAATGTTTTTAACCACTCAGTGACTCGGTGAAGGATCACATCACCTGTGTGCTATAACCGAAGCATTTACTCAACTCAGATCCCAGAGTAATCGCTTTAGTTTTCATCCTGCAGACCTTCGACTAAAGCTTCATTTTGCAGATGTGTTTGTTCAGTTCATGCAAGGCGGAGACGGTTCATACACCGCTAACTTTATAAACCTCAGCCGGGTGTTGGGAGTCAGTAAGCTGGATGTTTTTGGCCTCTACCATGGGTCACCTGTGCAGCAGGTTATTATGGCGTTTTTCATCATTATTCAACAGCATTTTGCCAACATTTTAAAGGTCAGATTTGCGGACGTGGCGGCACAGTGTTGACATGTTCACCTCCCTCCCACAGCGCACACACACATTGATTGGTGACACTTAATTGCCTGCAGGTGTGAACGAGAGCAGGTTGTTTGTCTCTCTGTGTCTGTGACAGAGTGGCGACCGATCCAGGGTGAAACCCCGCCCCTCGCCCAAGGTCAGCTGGGATTGGCTCCACCCCCCCACCCCCCCCTTGCAAGATAAAACAGCACTCTGAACATCCCAGTCACTTGAAGTTATATCAGAGGAGAAAGTTACGTAACATAAGGGAAACAACAACCTCCACACACACACACACACACACACACACACAGATATGGTGTGATCGCTGATGCAGCAGAAATGCATATCAGGTGATCGTGTACGTGCACGTCTGTGCTCGTGAAACTGGCAGCCGGTCTCAACTTGTGCAGATTAAAAAGCATCTCTGTGTCTCTCATTGTTCAGACACTGTGGGAGGAAACAGGTCGGACTCATGCTCTTCACTCGGAACCTTTTTGCCTTTTTTAGACTCCCAGTCACCGGATGTAGAACCGTTTCAAGAGAGAGAGTTTTTATTCCAGTGTTTGTTCATCCATCTTGATCAAACCGGACGAGCTGATGAGTTCAACCTGGAAATGTTTAGACCTGGTGGTCTCCAGTCTCAGCTCTCTGCAGCATATCAAAGCCTGCAGGTGGTGCTGCTCTACCACGATTCCCCTCATAGAAACTCACAGGATGGATCGTACAGGCTCAGTGGTAGAAACTCTTCAGCAAGGTTCAACTCTGCCACGAACTGAGAGGAGATGGAAAGATAATATGGAGGGAGAGAAAAGAGCCGACGAGGCCTTAACTGCTGGGTTCAGTCGAGGATCGCAGACACTGTTCATCAAACTCACTCTACTGCTCAGTCACTGAATTAATCAGAGTCAACGACTGAATACAGGCAGAATTTACATGAATACAAATAGAAATATATACATCCTAAAAAAAATATAAAACTACATGTATACAACGATATAAAAAAAACAAACACACCAAAGACTTCCACTTCTAACTTTCGCCTCTCTCAGTTTGTGGATGTGTGTGAAGCTGTTGCAGCTCCGTAGCACTCGGGAGGAGGATGTGCTCATGGCGTGGATGTTGAGCGCGTGTCATGTCATCGACCAGCTGAATGGCGGCCTGTTCCCCTCCCACTCTGAAGAGGTGGGAGTTAACGGTGGTGGCTGTGGCCTCTGGAAGATGCAGAAGTAATGTCTGGACCCCCCAATATTTACCATTTACATGCACAAAAATCTATATTAACACACTATAAGTCAGGGAGAACTCAGAAAAGCATAACAGGCCCTGTTTAAATCCGAAGCTATAGATTAGCGATGATTAGCTGCTCCGAGGTCTGACATTTGTGAGAGGGGCTGCCGGCCGCCTGCTACTAACCTGATTTCCATGGGCACAGGCTTTATGGGAACGGAGCTAGCAAAGCGTGGTATTAGTGTCCTGAGGGATGTGCTGTGCTCCAGTGGTTTCTCATTCACACGAGGGCGGCAGCCGGGCCGCTCTGACACCGGTTGGATCATCACTACATCTGATGTGTTCCACTTCCAAATGCCTGGCGTGGACTGGACGTATTGCCTGCAGCCTGAGTAAGTACCTCCTCAGTTACTCAGGCATCGTGGGTAAATTACGCAGGAGCATGTGGGCCCTCGTAAACTAACTGAAGTGAAGTCTGCGTGCTGAAAGCTGCTCTGTGGGTTTATGAATTTAAAGATGATAGAATAGTTTTGGATTACTCTGAAAATATAATAATACTGTCACATTGCATGTTCAGCATTTACATTTGGTCAAATGAAATTACCCTTACAAATACAGTACTGGCACAAACTGCACGTGCACTGTGTGTATTGTATGAGAAACAGTATATGGGATGGGGTTTTTCATTAGTTTATGGCACCTGTTATTGTCAAAGATCAAGGCTGAACCCAAACGCAGACACGAGAGGCGCCGGTTAGTCCAAAAAAAAACAAGTATTTTATTTAATAAAAAGGTAAAGGAATGGTGGCTGGAGGAGATCCTGGAGGCAGAAAGCTGGCAGGTCATAAAGACAATCTATCTCAAACAAACCGAGTGAAGACCAACCATCGAGGGGTTGGCTTAGTATTACTGCAGAGTTGAGTGGTGGATGGAGGCCAGGTGTGCTGATTACAGATGAGGGTCAGGTGTGAGAACCAGGAACCAGGAAGGCGCGGCCCACGGACAAAGAAAGAATAACAGACAAAACCAAAAACGAAACCAAGTGCACCACGTCCACACTAAGGTTGAAAATAAAGAAAAGAACATCCGCTCCAAACGATCAGGTGTCACTGGGGGAGAGGTCGTGACAGTTTGAGACATTATCAAAATGTTATTATGAAATCCTTGAAATTATACCTACATATATTCTAATTATACATGTTTTGTTTTTTTCAAATGTAATTTCTAATGTCCTTTTCCTGGGGCTAACAGCTAGCTGACATTAATCCAAGAATGAACAAACCATGTCTAAACAGAAGCTGACATTATGTGTGTTGTTACGTGATATGAACACCAGCACCTCTGAGCCATGGAAACCAACACAGTCAAACCTATTACCATAAGTTTTCTTGCAGCAACACCACCTGCACCACCTGGTCCATCAATATACCCCCATTAATACCCCCTTATTTGTCCCCTCCTGCTGAAACCCCATTTCATCCCTCCATCCTGACCATCATCCCCTTAACTTTACTCGTTATTCCAATAAGCTAACTTGCATAAATATTTGTTAGTGAATAGATTAATGATTTCAGTTTGTTGCAGTTTGTTGGGACCTGGGAAAAGTAGTAACGGGATAAAAGAATACAAGCAGTCTTTAAACTCTGTCACTGTTCATAGGTTGACTTCCCGTCACCCACAGGTTTCTTAAGAGCGGTTTTGAAGCTCAGAGTGAGCTTCTCCGCCGTCACCATCTTGGCAGTGCCTGACTCCACTGTAAACATGTAAATTTGGACATTTTAACATGGGAGTCTATGGGGATTGACTCACTGCTGGAGCCAGACTCTAGTGGTCATTAGAGGAACTGCAGCTTCTGGTTCTTCAGTGTCGGAGGTTGCTGCTTGACTCCAACTTTGACTGACGACACTTACCATAGTTGTCACCGTTATGGACCTTTCAGATGCATTCAGATCTCTGAATAAAGTTCATCTGTTTTTAAACAAACCGTCAGATCGCCGGACGTTTCGTGTTTCTCGCCCTGTCAATGTCATCGCAGCCCGAGCTCTCAGCTTCGGTGAGTACAATAAGCCAATAAATGAGAGGTGGAGGAGAATTATCCTTTAAGTTAGAGGTGTGCACTGATTTCCCCTGCTGCTGACATCCTCAGCCTGCTAACCCCGAACTGTATTCAATGAATAAAACTACTTGAGAGTCTTGGTAACTTTTGATTTCATAACTTAATTGGTTTATAATTGTGCTGTGTAATGTAAAGTGTGATTTCTCAATGCACACACATCATTTGGCCCAGCAGGAGCCTCGTCTTCTGTCCCATCTTTTAAATACTGCACAGCCTCCTTTAAGATCGACTGCAGAGATTATTTCAGCGTCTGATTTCAACTGTTATCACCACAAACAGACCAGTGTACAGCTGCAGTAGCTGTCCTTACAGCTCAGGGCAGATCTCTGATGGTTGCTTGAAAGCTACATTTTCCACATCTGTCGCTTTATGTCAAACACTGATTCTCCAAACCGTAAACAGACACACATTTTTTTAATTCGTCTTCAAGGAAATACAGGGAAGAACATTCTTAGAACAAGAACAATCTCCTATCATAAGAAAATAAGAAAAAAAGAAAAACCCTACAGAGCAGAGTTACTGTACATAGCCACACTTTCTCGACGTCTCAAACAGATACCGAACTGATTTTGTTAATCAGGAAATGACGATTATCCGTCGCTGTGACCTTGTAGATCCGACAAAGCGGCGACATTATTAACCTGTACAAAAAATGTTAGTGATTAAAAACAGTGACAGTAGAGTGAAGGTTTGGAGGGAAAAGCTCATCAGCGGTGCTAGAGTAACGGAGAGAAACGAGTACATGTACAAACATAAAGTTGTTGTCTTTCTACAGTGAGAGGCTCAGCGTATCTACCGGGGTAAATAAACCATGTTCACATCAGCCATTTGTCCTTCTCCTTGTTGAAGTTCTCAGCCCACTGACGCGTGAGCTCCAGGTAGTGGCCAGGCTGGTTGGGTTGGTAGTCCAGGTACAAACGGGTGACTGTTTTCTTAGGTACCGCCTTCTCTATCTGCGTTCCTTCGTGCCATTGATTAAAGGATGTGATGGTGACGATCTCTGGTCTGACGGACAGAGCTGCCTGCAGGGATGTCTCGTAGTAGCGTCCGTTCACCCTGTTCCTGGTGTTATGGTTGTTCCACGGTCGGACGGCCGTGTCTACGTACCCCGGGCCGACGCTGGGGATGAACAGTAGATTGTTTGCGTCGCAGAAGGTCTTGATGGCTTTCCAGTTCTGGTGGGATGAACCGAAGGAGAATCCGTTGGAGGCAAAGTAGGTGTACATACCATCGAAGCCGCTAGCTAGGATGTCGTGTTTGTGGCGCTCCTCGACGATGAGGGCGACGAAAATGCCGTCGTAAGGCGTGCCCCTGACGCTGTGGGAGCCTTTAGCTGTCAGGAGCTCCGCCCAGGACTCTGGTGGTGTCAGGTAGGAGTCGTAGACATAAAACAGAGGCAGGATTCGCCCCGTGCTGGACCTGAATCTGTAGAAGGCGCTGTGTTTTCCATACCTGAGCAAAACAGAAGAAGTGGTTATAATATGCAAAAAAAAATCAATTTTAAAGTTTTATATATCTTGACCTTTTATATCAATTTATCAGGATATATTTGTGGTTTTAAGAACTAAAAACCATCTCAGTGTAGTTTTACAGCTCCTCTCTCAGGCTTCTCTCTGCAGCTCTAGTAACAACAGGTCGGTGAGCCAATCAGAAGAGAGGAGGCTCTGAGCCTCTCTTCTGATTGGCTCACTGTTTTCTGAGTGATCCAATAAAAATAAAGCAGATTTCAGGTAAAAACACTCAGAGAATCCAAATCCTGTAAAGGTTTGGATGGTGGGTCCAGGTGGGCGGGGCTTGGTGACTGCTTTGTTGTGACATCACAAAGTTCCAGAAGTCCTGACGGCTGGTTTTAAGGCTCAGTTTCTGAATACAGGCTGTGTGCATTTCTCTGTGGACTGAGGCTTTGATACTTTCACAGTATTAATATAGAAGCTAGACCTGATCTATAATCACACTACACATGGACAGAGACCTTTAGACTGGAGGAGCTTTAAATAAAATACACATTTGACTCCAGAACCAGGCTAGAGGTCCACAGAAGCTACTGATCTGGTCTGTGGTCTGATTTGTTTGATTATAAATATATTAATGTCACATCTGGCACCTTTAATACAGCTAAACTTTCACAGGTTGAGTTCGTGTCAGACATTCAGAAAATACTTTACTTAAACTGTTGTCTCTTCTGTCTCCACAATATTTGTTTTATTTTATACAGATGGTCAGCACAGTGGGTTTGTGAAATACTGGCAGCCGTATAAAGCACAGAAATCAGAGCTCATGGCACTCTAGCCTTGGCTTTGATTTTACTCCAGTCCAGTATCATTATAAACACGACACCACTGAGACTCTTTGGTCTCGTTTTCTCTTCACATTGTGATGTTTCAGACCAGTGCCAAATATCTTATTAGATGAAATGTAATATGAATAACCTCATAGCCTTTCTCCAGGTCTCTCTCATAAAGCTTACATATCGTATACATCACTATAGGAGTAGTGACAGGAGGATACATATAGGACAATTTTATGAGGTAAACAAAGAGTCCTGACTTCCTGTTCCTCATCTTCGCTCATCAGGCTTCATGTTTGACCAGCGTTATTTTTCTCAACCTGTGGTGGGCAACCATAAAACCCTAAATCCAAAATCTAACCAAGTACTAGCCAATCAGACGCAGGGCAGCGACGGGTCTTTACCCACCTCAGGTGAAACAAAAACACTAAAATAGACTTTTAATGTCACTGGTCGCTGATGGGGAAAACAGAGGTTTACCCTTTGGTGAATGAAAGGAAACAAATGTGGCACAGAGGAAAGTGGACGCACAGAAAAACAACTTACTTGTCAGTAATGTATTTGATGTTGTCATGCATGCTCTGGTCCGTCCGCCCTTTGTACGGCTGGATGTGAAAGGCCACCTGTGCAAAAATACATTTGAACATGGATGTCAGCTAAACGACTGTAAAAGCAGAAGACGATTAAACAGAAACCTGAAAAAATAAAAAGGTTATTCATCGAGTTTCACAATGAAAACTCGCTCGTTATTCCAGTGTATTATTCGTTTTGATGGACATCATCTGTGGATCGTGCTAATTATTTAGTCGTGCTGTCTGAAATTAAAGGATATTATCTTTCTGTCAGATCCGAGTGCGACACCCTCTAATATCCATCATCATTGTATTCAAGTTGAAGTCAGGATTTCCCTCCCTTCACTTTCTAACTTCAGTAGAAGAAAAGACGTAGATAGAGCTAAGAGTAAACATTGGTGTTGGTTTCAACCTCTGGAGACAGCTGTTGGTGAGTGAAGAAATAAAGTTTGATGCTGAACTTACAATGTTTCTTCCAGATGGGGAAAGTAATTAGCCGTTAATGCTAATGCTAGCTATTTAGCAGTAGCAAAACTTACAAATGGCTCCTTTAGCCATGTGTGGGTTGTTTATTTTTGACGGTAAATATCTGAGAGATTACGAAAATACCTTTGAAGATGCAAACTCCTGCTGGGTAATGAGTAATGATTTGGCCACTGCAGTAAAGTTTACTTAGCAAAAGATGTGAGTGAAGAATTAGAATTACTGAGTGAAAACAAACACAAGACTGAGACGAGTCTAAGTTAAAAAAAATAGCCTGTACAGTTAACTCTGCTTCAAAGTCTTCTCGCACAGACACAGTCTGAAAATAAGCTTAAATAAAGTTTAATTTATTCTATAGCTTTTAAAATGTCTCTATTCAGACCAATTCAAATCCTGCTGTCTCGGACGGACACTGAGTCTTGTTCCCCATTCTTTTATTTCACATGTCGAGGACTGACAACGTCTCAACCGCAAATAGTCGTGAGGGCGACACATGACTGACAGCTACCAAGTAAATGATGGATTTAACGTCAATCATGTCCATAAAAGGAGTACGAAGCGTATAGCAGCGTGCTGATGCGTTTTCTTTTGTGTGGATAATTGTTGCTCAGCACCTGCACAGGGTTTATGGGTGTAGATAATACATAATGCATGCGCCGCTTGATGACTGGCAGATGAAACGTTTGTCACACAGGCTTCTGCAGTGGAATTATATGCAAATTATTAATAGAGTATACCTGCAATGAGAAGTGGAACAGGTTTTTCCTGCTGCTCAGTGGCGTGTGAACACAGCAGGACGGACTCATTTGACCTTTATTACAAACTGTTGCTTCATTTAATACATCTGTGTTAATAAAAGGTTATACTTTAGCTTTAACAGATGTATGATTGTTAGCATGGCATGCATTTACATTTATCAAAACACATTGTTGTTAGTGATTACACATACAGTGTAAACTTGAACTGTGATGTTTGAGTGTGACATTGCGTCCTTGTACCTGGTGTGGGCCTCTACCAATACAGTACGTTTTTGATGTTGCGCACCATTTGGGCCTCAAGAGCGCAGGGGATATTAACAGGAAACGTGAGAATCAAGTGTAAATAAAGCTATTTATTGTTTGTTATCCTCCCAAAATATGGTACATAAAGCTTCTATCAACCAGTAGCATAAAGTAAGAAATGACCCCAAGATGATGAAAGCACGCATCAGGAATGATATCCTCAGGTTTACAGGCTAACGAGCTAACAGGCTAACAGGCACCGGGACACAGCGAGTGTGGATCTCTGGGCACTTCTCACCCTCAACAGCCGCCATCTTGGCTACGTAGCGGAAGGGGTAGGACCACCAGCGTATCTTCAAATGTGTGACAACGTGACCGATGGCGCCATAATGTCCATGTTGCGTGACACAGGCGGCGCACAGGACAGCAAAACATTCATTTTCAAGTCAAGTGAGCAAAGCAGACGGTGGACATTTTTCGCAGGCGGCAGTCACGGTCACGTGTTGCGATTGCCATTTTTGGCGAGTGCAACAGCGGCACTGTTGGATTTGAGACAACACTACCCTGTCAATCGAATTCACGCACTACTCCAGTGAGAGTACACAGTGTACTACATGTGAGTGTACTGACTGACTTTCCCTCTTTCAGACGCAGCAGGAGTCTGTTGTTCCACTGGCACACGGACGAATCTGCAGATTCTTTATTCCTCGACACACAAGATGCAGTTCGGCACCTACAAGAAGTGCGGGGGACAGCGAAGTCGGGCTGAGTCATTTACGAGCTCGTAGCACTGAATGGTCTCAGCAGCGAGTGCGTACACCTACTGTAAGCCCTGAGGGGAAAACACGTATCAATCTGTCACCACCTGCACTTAACACAAACTAAACTTTGTCACTCGAGTGAAGAGAGGTGTTTAACACTCTTCAAGGCCGTAGTCGCAGGCAGTTAGACGGTTATATAAAAGCTGAACAGGAGGGAGGAGGCGAGAGCCTGTGTTGGATTCACACTGCAACGTATGTGTACTTCCTGCAGGCAGTACTGTCTGTACCTTTCTAAACCTGGTGTGAACCAAACTGGAAAAAGAATTGGTACAAAAGATTTGTTCATTCATTTACTGAAGCTGCTCCTGGAGGAAACATCAGCTAAAGTTTAAGGTTCCCAGAGGAGTTATCATTGTTCACAGTCACAGTTTTATTTACGTTAAACATTTTTATTCTCAAGAAACTGCACAGTTTTCTCTGGTTTTACTGCTATTTTTGCTTCCTGTTATCGGGCCATTACCACCACCCACTATTGACATACATTACTGTGCATTACCCTTTGCAGTTGGCATTAATACGGGTGCTTGAACACATGAGCTCTACAGCATTGCCAGTGGTTAAAACTCTTAACTCCCTCTAAGTTTGAAAAATTATTTCATTTTGCAAGTGGCATATTTCTTAATTGGGAATGTGCTCATATTCCCGCATGGCCACTCAGGCACAAACAGGCAGGCAAAGACTGTGCCCCTTTTCCTCTGGTATAAAGATAGAAGGAGACACAAGAGCAGACTAAGTTTAGCCTGCAGAATACCGAGGTGAGAGGGAGGAGGAACAGGGAACAAGGGAAGCAGATGCTCACCATCCCCACAGCCGTGTCCCGTGTAGTTACCTCATCTGTCAACACGTTCAGATAACACAGGATTGCATCTATACCACTGACCCACAGTTTCAGAAATCTCCATTTTAGTTGCTTCTCAGTCCTAATTAAAAATTAAAATCAATCTGCCGAGTTTTCATGTGATCCAGAGGGAATCAACAGTTCATATGCAAAGAGAGAATTTTTTAGAGGAACTCAATTAAAACGTGAAGAACATGAGAACAGTGTGTTATGTTCTGTAGCGGGAGCTGTGGGGGGGGTGGGGGTGATGGACGCCGTCTGTCATCCAGGAACAACCGTGGCGTGCTTGTTTGCTTCAGTCACAAAGAGGGAAACAGGTTTTACTGCAGCACAGTGGCGAACAGCGGAGCATTGACAGAGCTGTCGAGCCACAAACACTGAAACGCTCAACGCCCACTCCATCTTTCAAAAGCGGCTGCAAGGTCTTCATAAACAGTTTCCATGGCAACGCAGCAGCGGCGTTTGGCGCCTGGGCTCAGCTCTTGTCAGCCGTTCCGACTGGTTGGAAATCATGAAAGGCCGGGGAGGTAAGATGCTGTTCAATCTGTCCCTGTTTGGCTGAATAAGCCGGGGATGGATGTGGAGGAGAAGTGCTTTGTTTGCTCCGATACCCCCCCCCCCCCCCCCCCCGTGCTGTGTGACGCTGACAGACTCTCGTATTTACATTCCCAGCCTCAGGTGTATAGATTCTGCCACAACAAACAAGCCTCTTGAACGGTTTACCAATGTTTGTCTTCTCTGCAGATAATGAAAAACACTAACCTGAAGCAATGTTACATCATCGTGTTGGTGCGTTGCTACATTCATTCACCTAATTATGTAAACAGGGATGATAAATTTAAAAGTGCAGATGCAAAATAGCAGCATGAGAGAAGGAAACGTCGCTTCTCGAGGCCTTGAAATGGCTTGAAATGATTAGAAATCCTGCAATGTGACCCGAGTTAACTGCACACAACACATCTGTATTTAACTTCCATCTGGTCAGTGATTCTTTCTACCAGAGCAACAACACACACAATGTAAGCATGTGCATATATGTGCAAGCAGCATATATGATGCAAGAGATGGACAGATGCTACACAAAGAAAAACAACCTCCTCTCTTTTTATGGTGGGAAAGTTTCCTCAAGTGTCGTAATGGGACTATACGTTGCCCTTCAGCCTCTGACACACTTTTCAAACATCAACCATAGTGGAGGTGTTAGGGAGAGGGCGGGGTTAGCCAAGACTTCATCTGCACTAATACTTTTCATTTTAAAATAAAAACAATCTCCGTTCAGATGAGCGTTTTAGCTCCATGTCAGAAAATAAGTATATATAATAAGTATGCAGTTGTAAACAGGAAGCAGGTTGTCCACTCTGCGGTTGGTTAGTTGCAGAAAATACTACAAACGAGGAACAGCGAAGACAGTTGTAGCATTAAAATGCAGAATTCAACCACACAACAGCTGCTAGCAAAGAGACACCAAGGTCAGAAACGCTTGTTTGTCATCCACGTTGTATTCTCAGCTGGTAGTCGTGACTGATGAGACACAGTCAGGGAGCGACCGTCATCCAGACTGCAACGCAACCCCAGAGTTTTCACACTAAGAACTGGGCGAACGGCGTTTCCAGAAGTCTCAGTTGTAGGCGCGACAGTGTGGATGTAGCCTTAAGTAGCATTTAGGCTTGTGATGCAATCAGGTCTGTAGCAGTGACCAGGAGAAGTTGAGTTCTGTATTTCTGAGGATGTTTGACTGATAGAATCATTCAGTCTTTTAAAGTTGCATTAATCACTTCTTTTGATGCAAACAAAGGACTATTTGCGCGTCCAGTATACAGAGAACAACATTAGCATCCACCTGGAGCTGTGTCTCTCGCCTCCTGGTGATTGTAAGTCCAATATTAACTCTTCCTTTAGCTCTGTTTTTGGTCTCCACCAACACCTGAGAGAAATATCTGGCTCTTCAGCAGCTACATGTTCATCATCAGCTCGTTGCTCACTGTCTGTCTTTATCACAGCTTTTGTGCTCAAAACAGCTGTTTGTTGTTGCTGTAAAGAAGGTGGATGAGGGCGGAGACACTGAAGCAGTAAACAGTAACGTTACAGACAGAGCAGCGTAAGGAGTCAGGTGATAATCCTCACACCTTCCGCTCGCAGCTTTAACGTGTTGCACCCGCACATCCTGAGCTAAAGCACATGTGGGTTTGTATCGACAGTTAAATGGAAGAAAAACTCGATCCGTTCGTTCATATGTTTGAGATCTCATCCGTGTTCAAACAGCTGTTATGAAAGACAGTAACTTCCTCATTAAAACAGGAAAGCTTCCTTAGTCAAAGTAAAAGAGGTTTGTTGGCATAATGAGGGATTTTGTCATTAGAGCGTAATCTGCTCTACTTAAGTTTTAATTTCTCACTTGTTTGCAGCCAGCGTCCTGACATCAACGTTTCACTGAGCAAACAGGGTCAATCTATGCTTAATTTGTGAGGGTGGAGGGCCGCAGGGGGATTATAGATCAGCCTGTGTCCTCCTGTCCGTCATGTGTGAGTCGCTAACTGATTTCTGTGACACCAGTGTGTCTGTTTAAAGATTAAATATAGAAGCATGATCAATCTTTACACCTCGGAATCACTGTGTCACATGATGTGATGTCCAACACACACACACACAAACACACACACACACACACATGACTGCTCATACACACAGACTTCAGCCTCTATTTTGTCAGTGCACTGAAACACTGGAGCAGTAGCCCTCAGGTCAGCTGTGAGATACACACTGTTGTGTAAGTCTGACCGACACACACACACACACACACACACACACACACACACACACACACACACACACACACACACACTCAGAGACCCAGTTCTCGGTTTAAGACTTCCATATAAGGAGCATGAAAGTAGACTGACGGAAAGCGCCTCTGTCTTGTTAATGCTGAATCTACAGTCTGCGCTCAGCACTTGAGCTTCGCGGCTCAGCTGGAACGAGCCTGAACATTTTCATCTCTCTGCAACGTCCGTATTACTTTAAAATGTCAGGCTTTTGAGGTCAGAGGATCAAAATCGAAAACAGCCGTGTTGAGGTAGAAAAAAAAAATGTCCTCACAGTCAGCGGTCTCAGTGGAGCAGAAGGCAATGCAGCTGCAAGACATCCTGTGTTTTGAATAAAGGGCACAACGATCTTTTCTCAGCTTGTTTAAACACACTGCACTCTTAAAGGCCCGCGCACACCAGGGGCCGGTTTCACAAAGATGTTTCAGACCGGTCTGCAGTGTTAGGCCAGTCTCCATTTCACTCATAGATCAGTCTAATGTTTCACAAAAATAAATACTGACTAATGTTACCATGGTGACCATCAATAAAAACCTGTGCCGACCAGTAGCACCCAACAACAACAACAACAACAACAAAACAGGAAAACATGGATCTTAATTTGTGGTTTGTTAAGATTGTTGTGGAGAGAGAAGGGGAAAAGGTTTTAATAGACTTCAGCGTTTTTAATTGTTTCTAATTAATTTCACTGTGTGACTATCAGGTGTAACCAGGGAGGACTTCTCATTAATGTGGGCTACAGTCTTTATTAATGTGTTTTATAATGCAGTAGGTCAATAAATAATAAGGCTTTATTATACAGTTTTGGTCATAAGTGAATTTTATAACAGGCCTTATTTTCTAACATTATGTTCACATGCTCAAAACTGATTTATTATCTCATATCTGATATTTTGATTGATGCTGTATCAATCCCTGGATTGCTCAAATGATACTAATGTAAAAACAAACCAAAACAAACAAACACGTAATTGACAAAATCAGCTTTGACCGAATTGTCGTATCTCCACAGAGAAACAGTCAGTGTTGTATCGTGCTGTCCTGAAAGCTGACGCCGACTCTGTGGAAATATGACGATTACAATTCACTTTTTCTTAAGGCAACATGGAGAGTTTCAGCATTTCTGTTGGCAGTGTTCAAAAGGAGCACGTGACCTATAAACGCACCACATGAATCTATGTTCGTTTACAAGCAACATGAATTGACTCTGACTCTTATTTTCATGCTGAATATATGAACATTTCCATCTTTGCCTGCAGCACCACACAGTTCACTGTCACTGGCAAGTCATTCACTCAATCAGTAAATCATCAGAAAGGAAAAAACATACCGGTTGTCTCACCAGTTACCTTGATGCTGTGCCTGTGGGCGGCGTCCATGACAGCAGGAACCAGGTCCTCTGTGGGCTCCCCGTGGTCGTCCGCCACCCCGGGAGGATACCAGGACAACACCAGCACCCCTACAACACCACAGAGAGGAGAGGGGAGCAGAGGAGGGGAGTGAGTCTGGCCCGAGTGCAGTCAGACGTGAAATTTGAATGTGATTCAGAAAGTGCAAGCCCTGTTTTGTTGGATGTTGGATGTACATTTCTACAACTTGTCGTATTTTGAATAATACAATGAAGCAAGAAAACATGAATCTGACAGAAATAATCCGTGGAGTGGCTGCAGCTGTCTGTTCAAAGCACATCTGTAAAGTGAGTCTTACAGACTACAGTGTTTGCTAATGGGTGAAACTACAATTTGTATTTACATTACATGGTTAGAGTAAGATTTGTGGGATGTTTCTGTTCTCATCTATCCATCTATCTTGTTGTTTTAATTTCTCAGGCTGACAGACATCTGTGCTCCAATTACATCCCCCCGTTCACTGACATATTACAATAGATAAGTGAAATATTAGAAGAAAAATAGAAACATAATTCCAGTTCTACCCTCTTTATTCATTTTTCAGTAACCCCACAGTCCCTTTCCCCCATCCTCCTATAGGACTTGAAACATCGTCATACAGTTACTCTTTAATTTTACTGTAAGACCAAAGGTTGTTATCACCATTTCCCCCAAACTTTCCAGTACCGCACCCCATAGTTACCCCCCTGTATTTACTAAAATATATTCTCCCCCCCCATCTCATTCCTTAGACAAATGCTGGCATTAAAGTAACCAAAGGTTTTGCATATTTTTACGACACAATCACACAAACTGAAGATCCCCAAATGATGAAAACAAACTAAAGACTTCATTTTTGATATGACCCCTGGATTTCTAAAGTCCTGGTTTAGGGGGTCAACACTTCAAACCCAACATTCAGAGCCAGTGTTGCAAGAATTGTTACCTGCTGCAGCCGCTTCTATCTGGGCCATGTGTGAGTCCAGCACCTTTGGGTCCCTGGAGCTGTAGGGTCCCAGCTCAGGGTAAAAACTTGAGGCAATGTCTTCTGGAGGTGTGTGCCTTCCTTGGGCATGACTGGCTGCAATCTTAGGGTCCCAGTGTGGCACCAACACGTGATCCCAGTGAATGTACTTGTTGTCCATGCTGGGAGAGCCGTACCACAGGTAGTAGAATATGTGCACATCATAGAAAATGCTGTAATCTCTGTCGGATTTGGTGAAAACCACTTTAGTGTCGCTGCTGCCCATGTGGAACTGACCCGGCGACACCACCACGTCTTTCACGTCCAGCCGCCGCCTGTCGGACCTCTCCCCGATGAAGTCCATCCCGGGGGCCATGTCCGAGAAGCCGTCGCTGGGCTTCAGCGTCCTGAGTCCCATCATGGTCCCGAAAATGAAGAGCGTGAAGAGGAAAAGTGCGATGAGAGCTTTCCTGCGCAGCCGAGTCATGGTCGCTGTCCGTGGTGCTGCAGGAAGCAGCCGGTGCACAAGCCAGGCGGGAGAGTGGTACGGCGTCGCGTTAACGCCAGCTACAGCCGGTGAGAGCAGCCTGAAGTGGCATCGAGCAGGTGGAAGAAACGGCGCTTCAGTCACTGCAGACACTGGTGCATAATGGAATCTGTGAAACGCACGATAACTAAAAACAATCTCATTTCACTTCCATCATCACGACCCGAGGACATCCTGCTCTACGGTCTCTGCACAGCCGTGACGATTCATTCTTCCTCCATCCTCTCTCTTCGGGAGAGGAGTGACGGATCGAGCTCGCTCAACAGTTCCTTCATGTCTGAAATCAGAAGCCAGTCTGGTTCAGAGACGAGCTGTAACAAACCAAGTCTGGTTACCTCTCCGTTTCCATCCAATCGCACGTCGCCACTGTCCGTTTGTTTCAGTGTTTTTTCCGTCGAGCTGTTGCAGCGGCTCTTCCGGTCATCCCACCTCCATCACAAGGGACCGTTTCCTGTTGTGTCGCTACAGAACCAGATCTGGATTAGAGAGACTGTGTTTATACACGAGACGAAACAATGTAACATTTGTTTCTGTAGCGAGAGCAGCAGGGAGGTGGGATTAACCCCCGACCGGAAAGAGATGTATGAGGGGTGATTAGTGCCACAAAGAAGCAGGAGGCGGAGCTTAACCCTGTCTGTGGGAATTCACAAGTATGAAGAAATATGTGTCAACAGAATCACAAAAGGTTCATGTTTGTGTTTTAATCATAATTTGTCAGACAATATGACAAATATGCTTATTATTCACAGCGGTGTTGAAAGTGATATTCAGTGCCAGAGCAGGAAACAGTTCCACACCGTGTCTCATTCTAGTGTTGACATTATTATTTTTTACAGGAAACATTCACCATTTTGTTGTTTGCCTTCGTTCCCAGAGTGAGATCAAAATAATGAGATCTTGGCGTGGTTAGCCTTAGCCTTAGCAAAGTTAAAAAATACACCTACCACTTCCCCTAAAGCGCACATGCAGTATTAACATACTGAGTTTTGTTTGTTTAATCTATTCGTAAACAGTTTACTTCATTGTTATTTATTTCTTCCACTTTGGACTGATCCAGACTAACGGTCCTCCCCTTGCTTCTGGTCTAAATGCTAATCAAAGCTAATTATGTCTCAAGTCCAGCTCCAAACGTGACACACAGACGTAAGATTGATATTGGTCTAATCTCACCTCACAAAGAGAGAAAATAAGCATATTGTTTTTACCTAAAATAAGGCAGATACATATGCACTGTTTATATTATGTGTTGAAGAAAAACGTAATTCATTTTTTTTAGATCTCCTTCCTCTCCTTTACTGTGGCACTAATGTCCTTTCATACATGCTTCTTGTTTGTTTTTTTTGCAAATGTAATGCTTTAGTCTGACACATAGTGGGGGGCGCGGGTGGGGGGTGGGGGGGGGGGGGGGGGCTCCCACACTTTTACAGGAGCACCAACCTGAAGATGAGATGTGACAGATCCGTTTTACCAGTTTGAATGGCAGCTAGGAGGTCACTCTTCCCCCCTGACAGTAGACATCACAATCCTCTACAATGAAGTTTCAAAAACACAGAGCAAGACAGAGAGAGAAGCCATCACTAACTGCTGAGCTGAAGTAACTAGCAGGTGAATAACATGCCTACCTGTAACCAACCAGGTCAGACATCCCACAGTTTCCACTGATCAACTGCTGCAGTGACGAACAGAAAGCTAGCCAGCTAGCCAATATTACGAACAACCTTAAGACAGGAAATACAACTCACATCTCACGTCTCAGAGCCATGGCAAACTGTTAGCTAACATGTTGTTTACATACAGTTCTAACAGAAACACTGGAAGTGTGATTTAAATGAAGCTATTGTAAGATGATGCAGGCTGCTGTTAACACTGCTTACCTTGTACCGTGAGAGAAGAAAACATTAAACCAAGATGGCGTCCAACACGGAACGCACCGCAAACTGAGAAATAGATTTATTGAGCACAGAATAGATTTTAGTTTGCTCAGGTTACGGTATTATTTGCTCAAAAATGTTTTTTCTTCAAAATATAATTTGTGTGTTTGCAAAATGTATTTGTCTGTGGACAAAAAGTCCCACTGTGGCTCAGGAATGAGGCACAAAAGTAACTCCATACTTTCACAGTAATTACTATAAATGGTTGCTTAGAATATAAACTACAATCATGGTTTCCCTTTTACTGATATTCAGTTTGTGATACACAAATGTTTGTGTTTGATTATTTTAGATTCAGGTCAGTAAATGTTGCACTGTTCACAAGAAGCATCAAGAAATGAACATTTTCTCAAACCACTTTGCTGAGAAAGTAAATTCAAAGCCTCTGACTCTGTCGGACTTACCTCTGGTACCGGGCAGTTGATTTCTTCGTGCAGACAGGATATAAAGCCAGGGGGAAGTTTTAGAGTGTTTGGACCGTGGACTGTGTTAACATTGAATCTTTAAGTATGTAAAGTAATGTTAAAACCTGTAGAAGCACAATCTAAATACAATATTTAATGATTCAGATTCAGATAAATTTTCTTACATTTCTCATAAAATATAATATACTGAAGAAATGCAAATGAAATTGTTAAGTCTCTGTATGTAGTCTGTATGTCAGAATCACAACTATACAGTGTAATAATAAGTCAAATCAAAACATACCACAAAGGTCAATGTATCTTTACCAGAAGTGACGGTGCAACGTAGCAGATGAAGAGAAATCCACCTTCAAACTGCCAGTAATCAGCTGGATCCTTGGAGCATCTGGGGGGAAAAGAAATAACAGCCTAAAGATGTTGTAGGTGTCCCCAAAGATCCAGACCTTGGCTGGATGGAAAAAAACATTATAATAGAGAGAAATCATATCAATATCATATCGTAGAGTACAGAGAAAAAGACAAAAGAAACAGCACTCTGATTAGATGATCACAGATATCTGAAAATACATTATTCCCTCAGCTTAGTTGTAATCAACAGTCTGCTGAACCGTTTTACATTAAATAACAATAGAATAGAAACTAATACTCAGTTTGGTGTCATTGTGCAGGTGCACATGTCATGATGGTTCTCAGCTCTCAGTGATGTTCTTTATTCTGACAGAGACAGAATCATTCCAACAGATGTTTTGACTCCTGTCATCAGTAATGAAATGAACTAGAGCTGAAAACTAGCCGACTAACACTGAACCAAACTTAATATGAACAAACACGACACACAAGTGCAAAGGCAACTGACATGAAATGTGACAGCAGCTAATATTAAAATCTATCCCTGTCTAGACTTACCTCTCTGCATCCTTTGGGAAAGACAAGACAGATCTGTTTTTCTTGTTATTACAGCCTGTTGCTGCACAAAGCTCGAGCATTTTAACACTAACTGATGGATTACCTGTCCCTGTCGGAGCAGAGAGGAGGAGCCTCCGACTCCATGGTCGGCTTCCCTACTTCAGTTATCCTCTTGCCTTGTTTGTATTTGTGTTTAATTATTTACCCTCCTGGTTACACAATGAATTAAATCAGTAAATTTGATTTACCAACAACACCTGGTCTTATGTTGCTTCCCTTTTCCCCTAGCTGGGTCGTATCATGAAGACTGCCAACATGCGGTGACTGGCAGGACCATGCCATGACCTCATATACTGACACAAGAAACCAACATGGCAGTAGTGAACTGAAACCTGGCTCTGTGAGCAGTCAGTAAGTGAAATACTCAGTGAGTAAAATTTCCAGGGCTGTTGTATCTTCTGGTGCTGGATGTGAGTCCCACAGCATGGGAGGTTTTACTTTCTCAGCAAAGTGGTTCCACAAAGGGTTTATATCTTGATGCTTCATGTGAACAGTGCAACATCTACTGGCCTGAATGCAAAATGGGCAAATACAAACATTTGTACATCACAGATTTTATGTAAGTATAAGGGAAAGCATGATTGTATTTTATAATCCAAGCACAGATTTATATACCGTAAAAGCAAATCAAAATATGTTTTGTATGCATCTAATGTGTCAATATCAGTCAAGTTAAGCTCAATGTCTTTGTTTTAACTTTAGTGTCAAAACTGTTAGTTGGTTTGCAATGTGGGCAAAGAACATGTAGCTTTACTTTTAAATGTCAGCTTTGGTGGTTGTGCTGTAAAGGTGCAATATAAGATGTGGCCAAAACTTTATTTAAAATGTTAAAAAAATGAATTAACACTATCAACAGCGTGTGAAGCAGCCACAGTGATGATGTTATGATCAAGACCTCCATCTGTTTTATTTCAGTTATCTACTGAAATGATGCACTCGGTTCACCATGTTGTTACCCCTTTACATTACTGTTAGGAGATCAGCCATGATTGAAAGTGCGCTAGGTCTTTACATTTCTCAGGAGATTTCAGCATCCCTCTGTCTTTATCAGGACCTGAGCCAGTACAGATTCAATACCGCCTCCACCCGTCTCACCAACGGCAGAGAGTCCAGACAGTGAGGAGGGTCTAGGTGAGTAACATGCTATCATTCACTTTTAAAAGTAAGACTTGTCCATACCAGTGATTAAATCAGACCCACAGTGTATACATGTTCATATTGCTGATTGTTAATAATGAATATACCACTGCTTATATTTATGTATTTAATAGTATATTATATTTGTACTACTCAATTTGGTGGTTATATAGTGTGTACATTGAATTCTTATCACACCTCTAGTTGTTTATTCTTCATTTCCTTCATTCCATCCTGCATTTACATTTCATAATATTCATACTGTATCTATTTTTGTGTATTCATATCTATCATGATTTATTATACACACACAACAGACCTAACATGTTTGAATATAAAGAATCTTTATGATCTAAACAAATGGTCCTATCACATGTTTGTCTTTATCAGCACCAGAATTCCAGTCTAATCATCACCAATGATGGACCAGCACCTGCCTCTCCTTCTGCATCTGGCCTCATCAATCAACAACCACATTACATCAACACCTTGAGGTATTATCCCTGCACATGACAGATATTGTCTGTACTGTGATCTTTTGCACATCTTGACCAGCAGGAGTTTTGTCATTCTAAAACACTTTTGTACATAGTTTCATTTTATATATATTTTTATTTGTATTTGAGTGTTGCAGTATTTTACTTTTTTATTATTTCCTATGAATATGTTAATTGGATACTACACCAAGCCATTTCATCCAGAATTACAAAGTTTGAATGTAGAAGTCACATAAATGTAAAACTAATAAGATTTACCCTGAAATTACAGAGAAAATCTTTAAATTGTTCGTATGGACATTAACCTTTATAATAACAAGCTACATTTTTAATTACAGATAATTACTGTTGTTTTACATAGATTTGTGTGTAATTTAAGAAAGCAGAAAAAAATACTGTATAAATAATACAGTATTATTGGTGTAATGCTTAAAATAGAAGTTTGGCTGTTAATGCAGAGATAAAGATTTTTTTTTTTACAGTATGTGCTACAAAAATCTGTTACTGTTGGAAGTTATTGATTATCATGTAGATCAATGAGGGACAAAATAATTAGGGTATAAAATGAGTAATAGAGGGCTTATATTATGACTGAAAACATTTATATCTTGGATAGCCCCTAGTAAGAGCTAATGTGTCTGAGCTTCTGCTCTGCACAACCATTAACATAATAAAGAAATGAATAACAGGTCGTTTTATCTGAACGTGCTGTTTGTGTGTCAGACTAGAGTATTCCCATTTACTATTTGATATTGTGTATGATGCATCTATCTTTGGATTATGTACAAATCATTCTAATGTTATTGCAGTCTTGGGTGGTCTCAGAGAATGCATGATTGAGGTGACACCTAGTGGGAGTGAGAAAATAATGCATTCATTATCTGCATGCCTGTGGATGCAGCTGTTAGTCCCTGTGCACTGAATGCAAGGCTGGTCATTGAGAGTATATTATTATCCTTGAATGCACCTGAGGATGATAACTGTGAATCTGGAACAGAATAAATTACTCAAGGCCTTGAAGGTACAGTTGACACTGTCCAATTTTGTTTTATTTTGGATGTTTTTGTGCAAATATCTCGTGGCAAATGGATCATTTTAAATTTTCAAATTCAGTTTTACTCCATTGACAACGGAGGGAAATATTCTGTTAGCAACCTTTTATTAGTCTTTGCCATTTACACAGAACAGCACAAGCATGCTGTGTGTGCTATGATGATGTAATGGCTCGTTAATCGTTAGGCTTGTAATTGCTGAACTGTCACAAAGCTTTTGCTTCATTAGAGGAGCTGTTCCTGGTGCTGAAACCGTCTTCTGTCGCACACACTGCTCAACCTTTTGTGGGACAGAGGCTGTTAATGAGCTTATATGTGAATAGAACATTGTTTGTTTGTTGTTTGCTTCTTCTTTTCAACAATTTCCACACACCTTCAGTCAGTTGTATATGAGCTAATTAGGCAGCAAAACCCTTGGATTCACATCATTTTAGGATTGGCCCTTTAATCAGGTACTGTACCTTTAAAAGTTATTCTTTTAAATCTTTTTTTTTCTTTTTTTATTATTTGGTGAAGCAAGACAAAGACAAAGAAAGTGACATAACAATATAACATAATATAACATGACATGACATGACATGACGGCATACAATACTGCAGTGGGACAAAACAACTGACAGCTTTTTGTTATTGTTATAGATTCATATTTTGACGTATTGAGAGAGAAATAGAGAAAGAAAATAAGAAAGAAAGGGAATTTTTTGTCACATATATATAAAAGCTCTTTTTTCTTTTTGTTGTTGTTTACACTGACTCAGTGGTAGACAGTAATACATGCTCCTGCAGATCTGACCACGTAGATAAGCTTGAAGTAAAACATGCACCAATTTTCATCAGTTTTGTTGAATTTTATACCATCAGAGTCATTTTAACTCACACACGCTGTAGCTTTTAAAAATCTACAATGTCCACCATATTGACATCCAGTGAACGTGATTCTGTTTTCTGTCACTTCATAGTAAAATCAGCTGAAGTGTCAATCGCCCAAAAATCTGGTTGTATTCCTTTAAACGTCAAGGCCTCAGTCTGTCATTGTTGCCTGTTTGGCCCTGAGGTGGCCCGCAGCAGGCTTTCTTACCTACAAGCTTGTTGTGGGAGGGATATCTGTCACAACATGGCAGCACGTTATAGATTTGTTATTGATCAGGTTTATTGATTGATGTCCCTCTGGAGGAGAGGTGAAAGGTGAGCTGACAGGCTCCCCATGTGACCACTGCTTATTTTCCCCCTAAGTAATACACAAGGGCCCAGGCGTTCCCAAAGTGTGTTTTAAATCACACACACACACAACATAAATGCTGTAGGGTGTAAATGGAAGTTTAATTTGTACAATTCAGCTTTTTAAGAACTTGCTCTCTATTTATGAGAGGCATCTTACGGAATAACAGTGTGTGTGTGTGTGTGTGTGTGTGTGTGTGTGTTTGTGTGTGGCTGATGAACAAGCGCGTGCCAGGGCTTTGTTCCCACAAGCTCCTCTGAGTGACTGGGGTCACCTTAGGGTGGCCTTTCTTTTTCCATGGTGACTCTAAGAAGGCCTCCGGCTGATAGGCATGAATGGAAGAAGTCATTCGGTTTTAATCAGGACACACACACACACACACACACACACACACACACACACACACACACACACGTTAAAAGTGTAGAGATATCAAACAACTTGTTTACAGGAAGTCAGAGAAACTGTTAGCTTTAGCTGTGGGTGCCTGCAGGTGTGTGTCATGTTGTTACAGGAAGTCCCGTGACTCAGCTGTGATGAGAGCAGGTCTGTGGTCCTGTACAGCAGCTTCAAAGCGACTAATCACCAATTAATGAAGGGCTAAAAGAAGACAGAGATGACATCTTGTGTCTAAATTCACCTCTTTGTTCGTACAACTGGACAACACACCGCCGATCCTTTTAGCTCGATACTGTTCTCATAGGAAACATTCAGGACCAGTACATTTGCTCTCAGATGACTTGGCGCTTGATGATCTTAGGTACAGTATGTACATAAATGAATATGCAATAGCAAAAGCCAACATTATAAAACAGCAATCCCTTAATTACCCTCAACTAATCCTTAATATATGTCAAACACCTTCATTTAAATCAAGGTGTGTAGTGTGGCAGCCATAGATCCCTTCATTTGTCCATTCATTTGAAAAGGTAAAAAATAAATCCCCAGTAAAAAAAACATCTTGATTTCAAAAGCTAATTTACAAATTAAGCAGATTTCACACATTATAGTCTTTTTATTGCCCTTTTAAGATGTTATTAAGGGGTTGACATGAAAATATTAAACATTGTGACATTTTAAGGGATTATTATTTGAGGTGGAAAGTCAAGGGTGCACTGCAGAGTTGCGGTTGATTAATGGTTGATTAAGGGTTTTCTAAACAGTAAAATAATATTTTATGGATTAAACTAAAGGGTGATTTCCAGGTTATTTGGTCAATTTCAATTTCTATTGTTTTATTTATTGTACTTGTACTCATTATTAATGAGCAAATAATGTAATTTTAAAGTATGAAATTCAGGGCTTCAGTTTCATGGTGATAGTGATATGTTCAAAGACTTTTCCACAGCTTGGATTTGACAGCACTTATACTTATACTACTCAAATGAATTTGACCTGTTTGGTCAAAGTCATGTTGCTTTGATCACCTCAGTATTGACAAATTTATTTATTAAGCCTTTTTTCTTTTTATAGATCTGAATGGTAAAAATGCCTGTTAAACCCTGACAACTTTTTCATTTTTCTGTCAAAACTAACAAGTCCTCCATACGCCATTATTATTTCTTAATTATTATGGTTTAATTAATTGCATTTATTACATGAAAGGGACATTTTTTGGTCCAATCTGGCCCAGGACGGTTGACTCTAACATCTGTAGACGCCATTATGTTTATGAGAAATTTATTTTCTTTTAATTGTTGAAATGAAAAGTTAAAATTACAATAATGTACAGAATGGTAGAGCAATTTTATTTTGAAAGTATATTGATATATATCAATATAAATCAATAGGTATCAATATTCTATATTGAACCGTGATTAGTTAAGAATCTCTAAGAGCAGTTCTTAGAGATGCAAATAGATTAGATTTAGGAAAATAATGAAATGGAAATCCTTTAATTTGAGCAGTGTGTGTGTGTGTGTGTATGTGTTTGTGCGCGTGGTGGTGGAGGGTGGTTTTGGGCGGGGTTGATATTCCTCTGGGCCCTTGGGTGCAAAGTCCTGATTGGTCAGTTTGTCAATTGGACATATGTGATTTATCTGCGATTGGAAATCACGTGGACTTGACTGCGCGCGCGTGTGTGATGACATTCTGTGTGCGTGTGCTTCTGTGTGTGTGTGTGTGTGTGTGTGTGTGGTTGGGATTACTAGAAGCAGGAGGGTCAGGGGGCTTCTGCATATTGTGCAAGAAGAGAAGAGCAGGAAGCAGGGAACCACATTTTCTCCTGGAGGATCACACACGCAAACACACGCACACACTTACACACACACACCGAGAAAACGTGCACGGATGTCCAGCATGCAGTTAACTCTTTTCTTCATCTGATATTTCCCGGGCCGGAGCTGCTTCTGAACCAGAACCAGGCTGTGGAAACCTCTCACCATGGCAGAAGGTACGAGGAGAGCTTCTTTGAAGATGCTCTGAAAGGACCCGAGAGGTTGAATAGAGAGGAGAGAGAAAAGGAGGGCTGGCTTTCTCTTCCTCTTGCATTGTCTTTCCCTTCCCTTTCTGAGGGGCTGGTGGGTGGTTGTCTATTCAGAAACATCTCTGCACAAGTGCTGCCGTGACTTGGTGTCAGGGGGGAAGGTATGTTTTTGTTGTGGTGACGGGGGTGTGGAGGTGTAGAGAGCAGGACCGGGGGCTCAGTGCACTCTGACGCCGGTGGGAGAAGCAGCAGAGAGCGGCGGGATGGGCTCCGCTTCCAACCACAGGTTCACAGGTAGAACAAGCGTTTACTGAGAAATCTAACTTTTAATGTTGTCAGAAGATATGATTCTCTCGGGTCATCTCCGGAGGAGTGGGAATAACGCGTGAAAGACTGTATTCTCTGTTGCTTCCATAAGTGATTTTATTGCTGAGTGAGGGAATATAGCCTACATTTTATTCTGAAGGCCTGCAGGATTTATCATTGTTAGCCTATGATGACTGAAACAATTGATTGATTAATGATTAGTGGATTGCCTGTTTTTCTTTTTATACTTTATTGTCATTAACCTACTTCCTTCAGCACTGGCTTCAAAACCACAGCGTCATCGTGTTTTAACATTATGTATAATTCAGTGCGACCTGTTCTGATGAAGATTCCCAGTCTTCCATTTCCTGGTTATCCGAGAAAAGTTAAATCCAGGACAACTGGACTTGGTTGAAGAAGCCTCATGGATGAGAGGTGAAACTTCTCCACCAACCAAGTCCAGCTGTCCTCTGTTCACCTTTTCCTGTATCCTCTGATACAGATTGTAGGTATAAAACAGTAGAACGGAACAAGAAAAAAAGCAAACGTAAACAATCAGTTAAGTCATTTTTAAACTAAAAAAAGCCAATCTATGATAATAATTGAGCATTTTTCGTTTGTGGACTGTTGGTCAGACAAAATTCATTTTTAGACAAGTTCATTGATTAGGATAATTGATAATGTGTAGATTAATTCATAATAAAGTAGAAACCTGCATCTAGTAAATGAATCTGTATTCCTCCGTCCAACTATCTGATAATAGAACTGAACATTATTCCACCAGAGGCCTGTTGTGCTTTTATTAAGCAGCGTGTCGGACGCATCCTGCACGAGAACCTGGGCCCCTCCAGAGCATCCTGAGATTCACGTTCCCGCCGTGTGTTTCGGTGTAGCTATTTACAGTCATCATATCACATCCCTGTCTCTTGTGCAGGAGGGTGTGCGCAGAGCGAGGAGGAGGAAGCGGGTCTGTCCCGGGGCAGCGGGGTCTGCAAGTGGTTCAACGTACGGATGGGCTTCGGCTTCCTGTCCATGAGCAGCAGGGACGGAGCGTCTCTGGAGCCGCCGCTCGACGTGTTCGTGCACCAGGTGAGGCTGATGAGGAGAGTGTTGTGGGCTACTAGGATGGCTGTGAATTCTCACACATCCTCAAACCGCAGTTTCATTTCAGATCGAGAGATCTGGATTACAGAGGCTGCAAATAATTAAAAAGTTGATCAATTTAATGATGCATGCAGATGATCTCAGATGTGACTGTGGCTGCATCACACATTTAAAAACCTCTTAAGATTTCATTGAAGGAATTGAGTTGCACAATCAATTCATAATATGTCATTTTCCCCAGATGGATTCTTTAAATAACATACAAGTGAACATATTACTGTAGTCACATAAACACATCTTCATGTCACTGAAGTGCAGGGGCCAGTTGCACAAAACACCTTAAGTTAAGATTTTCCTTAAAGTCTGAGTTCAGTTTTCCTTAAAATAAAAACAGTTGCACAAAAGTATTTAAGGTTTTCTCCATACCTTAATCTTAAATTTAAGGGATTACTTAATGTTACATGGGGGAGTGCTAATGGCAACAAAGCAACAGTCTCCATGGAAACAGTAGAGTTTACAGCTGTAAATCCTCCCGCTTCATCCCATAATTTAAAAAATATAATATATATATATTCAGCATTTTCCGATTATTGGTATCATTATTTTGGCATTAACAATGCGCTACTTTGGCTCAGATGCAGCCGCTTGTCTCTAGTCAGCACGCTGAGGGATCGAGCAATGTCCCGCCCACTACACTATCTGATTGGTTAAACGTCACGAGTAATAGCCTATCACGCTGAAGACTTTTGTGTACACAGACGGTCACAGATTAGAAAAAAGCTCCGGCTAACAGCGAAGCCGTGTGTCGAAGGTAAGACAGCAGACATCACTGAAGACGTAACAAACATCACAATCCTCCACACTGAAGTTACAACAACAGCACACTCTGATGAACAAGTTCACCTGTTGGTTCAAGACACACCGAGCGAGAGAGAGAAGCTAGCGCTAACTGCTAAGCTAAGCTAAGATAAAGTAGCTAGCATCTGAGTAGCATCTGCTGAATCAATGTCGCTGAAAGGAGCAGAGAGCTCTGGGTGCAGGAACAGAACTAGTGTAAGTTTAAATGTACAACAGGTAGTTAGTCATTGTGATGAAGAAAAATAACGTTAACTGTGGTTCAGACAGAGCAGCAATAAACGCTATCAGTAACAAACTCCAGAGACGAGATGATGCACTACACTGACGTCACCACGTCAGCACGTCAACGGTCACTAACTACCGTTACTGAAAAGACATTTTACTACGGTAGAAGTAAAATCACTGTAAAAATGTTATAAAAGTACAAAGTAAGTCAGTTAAAATGTCTCTGAGTAAACGTGTTACTTATTTAAAACTGGGGAGGGGTAAAACATGTTATGGTGATAATAATAATAAATGATAAAACTATTCAGTTAAAAAGGCTGCCAGGTGTATGTATGTTTCTAAATGAGGATAGCACCGAAATCAACCAATTAATTCCAAATTAAATATTTTTAATATACATTATATGTAATATTTTTGTTTTTGCACACTGAACATATACAGGTACATATTAGTCTGTTTGCAGTGTAAAAGACCAACAAAAAAAATGAATTCTTTAACTGCGAATAGAATTTCTGTTCAAAATTCAAATGGTCGTAAATACAACATATGAAAAAAACCCATAAGCCTTATGCGATATTTTGACTCGTGCTCTGTATTCGGTCTTTTACCATCACTGCAGTTCAGATTTGACTTTGATCAGAAGTGGATCTCGTCATTAGGCTGCATTCTGTTGAGTTTTCTATAAAGAAAAATCAAAGTTTTAGACATGAGTAAGGGTTGAATGAAAAATCTCTCCGGAGTAAAGTTAGGTGTAATCCTTCAGAGGAATGTTAGACAACTGATGTGTTTTATTTGTGTAAAATTAGCTCCAGATTAACACATCTTTAAGTCAACCATGCCAGAGCCAGTACTGCCACTCCCCCACTCACCTCACCTCACAGACTGGTATTTGCTGTGGAACTTAAAAGGTGTAGGGGATGGGGTGGGGGGGTGGAGGGTGTTTGGGGCTCAAACATTTCTTTTTTAAAAGGGGTTAGAGGCTAAAGCAGAGATAACAAGGCTCATTCCTCTCCCCATCCAGCCCTGCTTCCTGTTATAAAGTCATTAAAGCGTCAGGGAGCCCACCCAGTGCTGAGTTTCAGTCCCACCTCCCATGTGGAGCCTTACGGCAAAGACCTCTTCTCAGGTTTCTGTGGCGCGGTGTTGCTGTAAATCACCCGATGAAAGAGAGAGGACGAGGGCTCTTTACACGGCTTGTTTTGGGCTTTAGTGAGGTGTAAATTCAGTGTGCAGGAGAGTGCGGAGTGTGTTGTTAATGACCAATTAAACACAATTGATTTGGGAGCCAAACATGAAAAAAATAGCATCACATCAGGCAGACTGGTCCGTATTAAAACGTCTAAAAACAACTCGACCTATGTTCTATATTTTGTCGAGTTGTGTTCTTTCATTATTGTTATCAAATTTAGACAAATCTGTGATTTTAATCATGGTAACAGTCTCAGTTTCATTTGGTCGCCTGTCAATGGCGTCTTATCTCTTATGTGCACGTGTCAGTGTTGTTGCAAATTGACTTTTTTATCCAGTTTTGAGCCACATTTTTAAAACACATTTGTAGATCTTGGTGGTTTTCAACTACGTATTTTAACCAGCTGAAGGATTTTAGTCAATTTGTCACCAGGTCTGTTTGTTTTGGAGAGGAGGAGATCTCTGTGGATAATTTGGCTCCCGCATAAAACGATTGGCATGATTGGTCATTTTCATAATATAGAGAATTTTGTTTTTAGTTTTGCAGTTTTGCACAGTCTGCTCTGCTGCACCTCGGGATGTGACTAATGAAACGATTAACCTCGAAATATTACATTTTGAATTTCACCCAAGCCCAATGACAAGTTTTTATAAACTTTGGATAGTTCAAGAATAAAAAGGTGAAATGTGAAAGTGTTCCCCTTAAAGTACAGTATTTTATTGGTGCATGTTTACCTTGTAGTTCTTATTCCCTCCTTGTATTTAAATCAATCGGAATCTTTTACTGAAAGATCAATAGTCCAGCACAGTGAGTTTCTTCTCCCAGGATGCATACTGTATGTTCTTACCACAGTTTCTGTTAGTGTGTGAGTGTTGTTGCAGTTCAGTTGTACAGAAACATAATTTCTAGGAGACGTGGTTTCCAGGACTCCTTTTGCCCTCTGTCATTTCCCAGCATCCTCCACAGCGGTGGTCAGCGTGAGACTCGACCAGAGAGACTCAGTGATCGATAGCTTCTGTGGCTGCGTCTTGGTGGTGAGAGGAGGAGGGGTGTACAGAAGCATTGATGTTTTAACAGGGCTGTCAACAGGAGTGGATTTTTATGAGGGAGGAGGATTCCCTGACGTGTTTCTTTCATCTTTTGCTCTTAAATAATTTCATTTCTGCTGTCAGAAACTCTTACCCAAGAACAGTGGACTTAATGTAAGTTGTCAAAACAGGGAAATATCCAACAAACAGAAGCTGCTCCCACTCTGTTACGTGTCAGTGATCCGTTATCATTTACTACAAAAAAAGCCCCAAGTCTGGTCGGATGCAGTTTTCAGCTTCTCTGGGTCCGTAGATCCTGTGCATCGAAGTCCTTCCCTGGCCTCTCACTCATAATGGCTGAAAATAATTTACTGAAAATAAAAACTTTGATCTTTCGATAACGAAGGCCTTTAAGGCATTTGACGGGATGACATATTTAAGGCTGGATAACAGCCTCTGTCACTTCTGCTCAGTGTTAATTGTCAGGTGAACGCAAACCAAAAACTAGGTGCTAGCAATAAATAATTTCCATGTGCGCACACACACACACACACACACACACACACACACACACACACATGCAAACACACATTTTACACCAGATATATGTGTGGAGCGATGAGGAGACTGTAACCTTCCTTGCATTAATACATGAAACAAACAGAAATGCCATATTTTCTTCACATGTTCCACATTGTTTTCCTTTTTACTTTAAAGCTTTGACTGCAGTGCATTTAGCTTTGCCACCTTGTCGCGTTCTGGAGCTTTTGATCCAATCATGACCTTCATCAGCAGTTGAGAAGTCCTTTGAGTGCTCGGAAAGAAAATTGGCATTTGAGCATCTCCAGTTGTGCACTAAACAATTTGTCTCTGACATCCCCATCCTGGCCGTCCTGTGTTTCCTGTCAACACCCAATAACTGTCACTGTCTTTAATCTACAGAGTAAACTGCACATGGAGGGTTTCCGCAGCCTCAGAGAGGGCGAGGCCGTGGAGTTCTCCTTCAAGAAGTCCTCTAAAGGGCTGGAGTCCGTCAGGGTGACCGGGCCTGATGGAGCACCGTGTCTGGGCAGCGAGAGGAGACCGAAGAGCGCCCAGAAACGACGCTCCAAGGGGGACAGGTGAGTCCACACATGCTGGTTCAGGACTTTAAGACGTAGTTCAACAAAGAGAGACGCCACTCTCTCACGTCTGTACGTTCAGCTGGAATCAGGTCAATATGAGACCTTTAACTTCTCTGAGCGATGGCGGTTCATCATGTTGTGGATGAAAGTTTCCCTTACAGATAATCCGACACTCAAACAGAAGATGTTCTGTTGACTGAGTGTCGGCTCTTTGTGGAGCTGCAGGCTCAGCTGGATCAATAGACTGTTTGATCTCTTCAGGCTTCTCCAACCCCCCCAGTGCTCCATTTTCTGGCTTTTGTGCCGTGTAGCTTCATCTGTTTGTCACTTTTTTACAAAACAAACATCAGAAAACAATAAATAAAATTAATCAATTAAATGCATGTAACTAGAAAAAACAGTTTTGAAACAAAAATTTTTTTTTTTTGCAGTTACTGTATTTTTCATCACGGCTGGCAGTGATAAAGTTAATCCCACATCTTCCCGTCTGGATTCGATCGCAATCACATGTTCAGACTTTCTTCTTCTCACCGGTTCCTCAACACGAATGTTGCAGTCAAGAGAATAAAAGAGTTTGATTTGTAGGTTGAACGCCTTTAAGATCTGACATTTTATTAAGTTCAGCTTCATTAATCATGAGGGGGGGGGGGGCAATGATAAAAATAATCCCACAGTTTCCTGTGCAGAAACAGCCACCACAGGTTTGATTGCACTCACATGTTCCCTCTTTTTACTCTCAAACATAAATGTTGTATTCAGACGACGAAAGGATCCTATCCGTTTAATTGATAACAGATGTAGGTGCCCGGGAGAGGTCAGAGGTCGCCACTGCCATAGCAACAATGGGATGCGGTTGTGCAAATGAGGTGGAGGGAAGGGTGGGAGGAAGGGCAGCGAGCGAGCGAGCGGGGGTCATGGGTCAAAGGTCACAGGAGTACTGAAAACAAAGGAGCTCCTTCTGCCACCCTCGTGGCCAAGCTGATCAATACTGAGCGCTGGTGGGGGGCTGGGAGGAAGAGAGGAAGGAAGTGGTTGTTAGCAGTGAGTTGATCCAGGGCTCGGTCTGGGTTTCATCTCTCTGCGTCTCACAGGAGTTAAAGAATAAAGATGAATAGATTCTATAGTTTTTAACAGATGAAAAGACCGAAGCCAACAATGAACGCCGTCCTGCTGCCGTAGATGCTCATAAGAGCGTCGAACTTGTATCACTCCGCCACTAAAAATAATACGCCCCAGCACACGCAATATATATCCTAAATGTTTGAGTAACATTTGTTAAAAACTACAGTTCCCAGCTGTTTCAGGAAACCATGTATTTGTGAGGTGTTTTTAAAGATTGTGTTTTCAGATGGTCGACGTCTTTATTTGACATTTTTTGGTGTTTTCCAGTTTAGTGTCAGTCTGTGACTTTACCCCGCTTCTGTCCATGTGCAGCTGACCGAAGGTTGCTGAAGTGCGTCAGATTAAATTATGAATTCCCATTTATTTCTGTACAGAATAAAGAAATATGACGTGTGAGCGAGCATTAAAACTTCACTTATATCAACACTGATATATTTACTTTTATGTGCTGAGCACAACATGCTACTGCTGACATTTTAACTCCTGTTGACAAACATTGTAATGACAACACATTTTTTGTTTTTAAAATAACTTTATTCATAACACTCCTTTCCTACCCACAAAAACAAAACAACCAGGATTACATAACTCAAACAATATGTAAATACATAAATAACAAATCTTAATTATTTCTGTTCTTCTCTTGATGTAAAAATAATTAAGTCAGTGCAGCAGTGATGTTGTGATGGCCAGAATCAATGTGTAAAAATGTATTTATTTACATGGTGCATGTCTTAGTATCAAAGTGAAATCATAATACTTGGGAAAAGTAAAGGTAAAAATGTGTTTATGTGCTTGGACAGGCAGCGCTGGCTTCACCTCTCCCCTCTCTGTTTGTTGACTTGCTCTACCACAGATGGAGAGCAGAGGGAAAAACCTGGACCAGTAGAAAACCAGATTGTCCGTATACAAAGAAATCAATAGTTTTTGCCGTTCTGTTTAAGTGGCCAGTGTCCCTTTGTGTCACACTGCACAGGGCCAGAGCCTCGCTCGCCTTATTTATCCTGCCCTAATGAATTCACCAACAGGATTTCACTTAGCTGCTGATCATTAGCTCTCTCAGCATAGATTTACTGATGAAATACCCATTTACCTGCGCGATCAGCAAACAGCAGCAGAGGTGTGGTGTTTGAATCAGAGCAGCAACTGTTCTGTGAGATTTATAAATTCATGTTTTGACCCATTAATCGTGGAATTAGGGCTGGATGATAATTTAATGTTGTCTCCTGCTGACTTTCAGTGGAAGCCTGAAGATGACCGTGTCGTGTTATTGTTTAACAAATGTTCTGTTCAAACGACGGATGCTGAGCGACTCGCGATGAAAGGCTCATAAAAGGAGATTTTTGTTCAGTACGTGGAGCTCAGGTGTAATTAAACATGTTTATGATGGTGTCTCAGTAAAACATGCACAACACCAGAGCCCTGCAACTCATCATTAACATTATTAATTACGCCTGTCCACCGTGAAGAAGGCAGATACGAAACAGTGGAACACAGTTCATCAGTTTAATCCGTTTACATTTGCCACGTTGTAATATTTCAATTACATATACATATGAAATATTAATATTTAAAAAAGATTTTTAATGTTGTGATGATAATTATAGTCACAATATTCCACAAAATCTGTAAAATACATTCACAAGCTCTCAGCAGAAAGCAAGAAAACAGGGCTGTTAATTCAGGTGATTAGTCCCAGTGTAAACGGTGTGTATCGTTGAGGACGAGGAATAGACTGTGTGATGCAAAGAAAGGGGAAACACAGTTTGATAAATATTGGCGTTCAGAAAAACATTCAGTAGGTATGCAAGACTTCAAAATTTAAAAGACAAATTTGTTCTAATTAGAGCAAAACAACCAACACGCTGATCGTCCTGTATAGTGGATAGTATTGATCTTTTATATGTGAAAGTGTCGATGTGATCACAGGGAGTCTAGCTTATAGTGCAAGTACCTGACTCTTCTGTAGCCTGGATTTAAAGAGAGCGACTGTTTCCTCACGTCTGGAGTGATAAGACGTTTAGTCTAAAGAAGTGGCTTTTTTGGTTAAAAATCAGGGTGAGCACAGGAAAATAAAAGATCCAAGAGGGAATTTGTATTTGTATTTTATGTTGTAAGACATAAAATCCTGTGCTGTGGATAAAACTTTGTGTCTGATCTGGTTTTTCCACAAAAAGTTCAATAATCTGGTTTAAAAAAACAAACAAAAAAGAAACTGTGTAAACATCATTAATCCCTTGAGGGTTATAGATCAATTTAATCTCCTCACAGCTGCCAACCGCTGTGGCAGTTCATGTTCAGCTCAGAGTGTGCTGCTCTCTGGTGGTAGAAACCGCCTCACTGCAGATGGGATTCACTCACATTTCTAAAGGAGGAAACAAAAAATACTTGATGTTGAATAAAACATACGATTTACAGTTTTATGAAGTAACTGAAGATAAAGACAAACACAGCGCACGGAGGAATGAAACAGGGAAACATGAAGCAAAGTAGCCTGAGATGTTAAAGCTGCAAAGTACCCAGCTTTAACATGCAGCCTCCCTGTATGACATCATATCCAAATAGCTTTAGCCACTGAGCTAGCTAGATAGATGAACTACCAGCTAGCTAGATTATAGCTTTATTTTATTTTTTCAAACATATATATGTATATTTTTTCAAATCAAAAGAAAACTATTAAATAGTATATATATTATATAGTAAACAAATTTTTACAAACAAGTTAGTATTTCTCCTAAAGCGCTAACCGACGCATGAGATTAACTAGCAAAACAAGCTACAGTTTGAAGTGTAGCCATGCTAAACAGGGGCTTCTCCACTTTTTCTCACAGTTTGAATGAAAGTCGGTGGAAACACTGATGATCTTGATGCAAAAAAAAAAAATCAAAGCTAATGATACTGATTATTAATAAAACAAAGAGGCTTCAGCATTTATCTAAATATATCCCACAGAGCTAAAATAAATCCGTATAGGTTTTCAACATGGCAGGAATTTGCTTTGGTGTTTTGCTGCGTATCAATAAACATAGTAAGAAGAAAAAAAATGTAAACAAAGATAAAACAAGCCCAGTATACACCCGGTTCTCTGGCCCATATACAGCCAGATGCTACTTCCACATCTGGACCAATCCTGGTGCACACTGAGAAAATCTTCCAGCTGTCAGACAGTACAGGAGGATGACAGGATGGATGACTCTGCCCAGATGTGCAAGTATATATGGGCCGTGGAACCGGGCGTTGTGTTGGACCAGATGTTTCAGTCTCCTGTCTGGGTTGTGTCTGGTCTCTGGAAAGAGGAGTGGGTTCAAACTCCTTTTTATTTTTATTCTTTAAGTCAAGGCAAGATTAAACCCTGTTGAAGAAATATTAGAAACTGTATTGCTTCTTTTTTATTTTATACAATTTATTTAGTAGTTTGCAACGTGTTTAATATTATAAGTCTTCTAATATTCTTAATGTTACTAGTTATATTGATAACATGAACATATTAAGCTTGAACTGAAGTTGTAGCCTTTAATTGTCACTCATAATTTTTGTTAATGTCAGTACAGTTTCGTTGAGGGAATGTTCTTTTCATTTTCCTTAAAGTATTAAATGCATCAAGCTTAAAGCTGCTGCCACAATGAGATAATTCCTCTTCTCCTGTCACGTTAGGTGCTACAACTGCGGAGGACCCGGCCACCACGCCAAAGAATGCCAGCTGCCCCCTCAGCCCAAGAAGTGTCATTTTTGCCAGAGCGTGTCGCACATGGTGGCAAACTGTCCAGTCAAAGTGCAGCAGCAGCAGCAGCAGCACTCCTCCTCCTCTCCGGCCTCTCAGGGAACAGCTACCTCACCGAGGGATGAGGAAGAGGAGCGCAGTCAGTCCACGGTCTGAAAAACTCAGAGCGAATCATTCAGGGAATACGTGAGATTTATTTTGTTTCCACTGGAGCACTGCTTATAGAAAGAGCTACCTCAGGTTTTATTTATCGAGTGGCAGCAAGACGCATCACTGCAATACTGATGTGATGTGACTCATTCTTTTTTTATTTTTACGTGTGTTTTTTTTTTTTTTTCTGACTTAGATAAGTGTCTTAGCTCTGGAGTGAAACAATCAGACTTACTGTAGGTTCAGCCGTGTAGTAGCCACAGATACCGAGTCCCTGCTCGGACTGATCTGACGCGTGCCTCCGCTAACTGAGCTGAAAATGCTAACACTAAAGTCTCGCTGGTTTTACAACCCTCTGAAAACATTGCACACGTACAGGGTGTGTGGAAAGTTGTTCTGAGTGGCCTGAGGAGGTTTGCAGATATTTGAACCTGCAGCTTTACTGTGATATGAGCGGACGATTCGACGTGCGATTACAAGAAAAGCACAGGTGCGATCGATAACTGTCGTGATGGCTGCATTCCATTTAAGTTGATTGCATTAGTTTCACCTGTGCTTGTCCTGCCTTGACAAATGAAAAAATGCGAGACCTATTCAACAGTTATTCACACTCAGGAATTAATGTGGTTTTTTTTATTTTTTTATATGGGATGCATGTGATGTGCATGAGTTCATTCTCATTGGTGAAACTCTGGTAAAATCACAGGGCAAGTGACAGAAAAAGAAAACGTAAAATGTCCTTTTAAAAAAAGAGTTAAGAAAAAAAGATTAGAAAATACAAAGTTTTCTGCATTTCACTGACTTTTAAAAATACAAGTGTATTGGATATTTTATTAGTTGCACCTCCATAGTCTAACTAGTCACAATCCAATATAACAGCTCTGCCGTAACATCTGCTTTTACACAGTTCTTAGTGACCTGTGTCTGGAAGGTGTAAGCTCACTTATATGTTTATTATGGATTATAAAGACATAAACATATCGAAAGGTGGTGTCGTACTGGACTGCAAAGATGTTTCAAAGGTTTCACCTTCCATACACACCTCTACAAACACCTCTGAATGTAACGTATTTCAGTACAACACCACCACTAACTGAAGCATATAATAGAGTTAACATCTCTATGACAGTGTCAACACAAACTGAACATGACGGCATTAGAAAACCTCACGGCAGAACAGTTGTTATTGGATTGCAATAGATGGTTACAGAGTGTTTTATCACAACTCATGAACTCAGAACATTTCCATTTACAATTTATACTTCTCATCAGCCAGCTGGGCGAGATCATTCCTTCGGCTCCGTTGGGATTTGAAGTGGAACTTGAAATAAGTGACCGAGGTACACAATCCAACATGTGAATGTAAAGAGAAAAAAAAAAAAACTGCCAAAGACTTTATTGAAATCTGAAAAATACTGTATTTTCAGGTTTTATAGTGAATATAAATGAATGTCACTACATAAGTGCCATAACCTCCTTTTTCCAATGGGGTTGATAAGAGCTGCTTTATTCCATTAGAAACAACAGTACCTCACCACAGGCATACCAGTGAGAAATAATTCTACTTTTTCTATTAGTGGTGAAAATTTCTTAAGTTGCCATTTCATAATTTAAATTTATGCAAGACCAGTATTGATTGTATGGCAGGCTTTGTCTGTAAAACAGTATTAATCCAAAGGGAATGTTTTTACACGTATATATCAGGGATTTTTTCACGTAAACAAGACGTTCTCAGTTGTTGTTGTACTTGAAAGCTGCAGGTAAAGCAGGAGGAAGGATTCCAGACATAGATTTTTTTTTTTTTCCTTCCTTTGTTTTCGCCCTCACTAGTTTTGCTGAAGGTGCTAAATGTATATAGATATTATCTTTTTTATATTAACTATTTATTCAGAAGTGTTCCCCTCCTGGTTATATCCCTCTTCGTCTTGGGTTCGGGCTGAAGAGCAGACTGAGAATCTCACAGCTGTAATTGTTTCATTTCAACCTGAGCTGTGAAAATATCTTTTATACCTCTCAATACCGACACACCTGAACTGTGCGAAGCCTCGGCTTCCTTTGTACACATGCTGTGCAACGTTTCTGACAAACTCTGACTATTCTATTACTGTGTAATTGCTTGTTGACAGTGTAAATTAATCTACAACTTTAGTGTATTGTCACTGAACAAAAAACAAACAAACCCCACAGCGTCCCAGGGTAAAGTATATTCATTTTTTATCTGTGTATGTAAAATTACTTTCACTGTGATATCAACCTGCATTCAGTTAATTTAGCATCTTCACTGATTGCCAAATGAGCCATGCACTCTTATAGGAACCATTCACTCTAAACACTTTTAGCATGATATGCATTGCATTCCTGGGTAGTTTACACTTTGCTATTGTAGTTTCACATGTGGATAAGTGATAAAACACAGACAACGTGATATGATGCCGTTGTGATATTTAGCTACAATAGCTTGTGACAGCAGAAACTTACTGTAAAGTTGTTGTTTTGTTCTCGTAGCTAAAGTATCTCAAAAAGGTCTAAGTTGCTATAATGTAGCCACCTAGCCTACACTGTGATATCTAACTAGCTATAGCCACAGAGCTAGCTTCTTAGATTAGCCACTTAGCTAACCATATAGGCTTCGTCATTGTTTAATTTTTCAGATTTTGGAGTCCATCCCTCAGTGTGTCTTTAGATACACTCCTCATTTATGTACAGGAGTCTGAGCAGCTCTACAACTCACTCAGTAAACGGTTGTTCTTGTGTGTTTAATCTGTACACAAACATAAAGTAAAAGTGACTAATTCTTTATCTTTCGTGGAGTTACGTGCTGTAACTGTAACTGCTGCTGAGCGGACGACTGTTGTTCCTCAAGAAATTATAGATCAGATTTTTTTTTTTTACATTTTTGTTTGTGTTATGTATTAAACACCCAAGATACAATGTGATAATTAATGAGCTTTATAGATGCTGGGAGACATAGTTCTTTTTAATTTAGCTGTCTCAAGTAGCTATAAGGGAAACAGCAGGATCTCTCTCATGGAGAAAAAGCAAAAATATGCGCGGTCTTTCCTCTGGTTGTCTTGCTGCTGAATGACATCTGACATCCAAAATAAACCCGGGAATGCAATGGGAAATATCATATAGATTATTTACATAAAAGTGTACAAACAACCAAGACTACTTTAAAATTCTGTGGGGAAGACAAGTCATCCAAATGAAGATGCCTTCATCATTTGCACTGACGTATTTACTGTTAACAGTCCTTCTCTGATGGACACCAGAACTGGTCGGTCCGAAGTGACACTGCAGCTTTCCACTGACATGTTCCTCAAGTCGAAGCAAGCATGGCACTATATTTTAAATGTAACCTTGCTATTGTTTTTTTTTATTGTATATATTCGGTGTGTTTTTCACAGTATTAATATAATGTTGATGATAAATCTGCATGATAACGGGCAGAATGATAGATTAGCTTCTTCATGTACAAAGGGACCGGAGACTGAGGCCACTGCTTGCAGAGCACAGAGGATGTTTGAAAGCATCAGTGTGAATCAGTTTCTGTTTCACTTCCGTTTCGAGTTCAACATAATGCTCATGCTGCAGCACAATGGGCTCTGATGTACCATCTATAATACTCTTAAGCAAAGTCCCTGTGATTTGTCTTGTTTCTTGTCGGTTGTGTTGTTTCTTACATGTGACCAAGGCAGAGATTGTCTTGTCAAAAATCTATACCAGTCTACCTCAGATGTGATTTTGGTTTTAGTGTGGACAGCTTGAAAACGGCATGTCCAAAAAAACCAGTTTTGTAAGTATTGTACATTTTTTTTTGTCTGTTTAGTTGTGTGTTTAAATATTTATTACTTTGTTTATACCTTTCACTTGCATTGTGATATGTGCCACCTAAAATACTTTTGATATCTTTATGCTTTTGTTGTTGCTGACAATTTAATAAGAGAGATATTATACTTAAGACCAAACTCAAGACCTCGGCTTCTTTCCAGGACAAAGAGAAATCTAAAAGAACCGATAAATACGCAACGAGGATGTTCTCTGACATCTCTCAAACAAAACAACCATATCTTCACTTACCAGAACAGACACACCCACCAGTTTTTCTGCTTGTGTCTGGTTGTCTTTCTGGTTGTGTCACTACAAAGACTGCAACATGTTCATGTTGACTGTGTGGGTATATAATTAAATTAAGGTGAGGCTTTACTCAGTGCTCAGGGTTATGTGTTCAGATGCTGCAGCCTTATGTAACTCAGTAAGTACATTTGTGATTGCACATGGTTAATTGTCTCACTTTGCTGATCTCTGTCTTTTCAGCCTGCAACTGAAATCATTTGTGCTGCAAAACAATGGCAAATTAAAGATCAAAAGTAGAGAAGATTTGTGTTTGTGTCTTGTATCTACACTTCACATCACTCTCTAAAACATTTGGTAAAGTTTCATAAGAAAAAAACTCATAATTCACTCATTACATTGAATTACAAGTGGGAAAATCTCAACTTGCTTTCAAGAGTACTGAATGTCAAACAGGTGAGTAACTGCGTCTCCAGATTCCCACATAGGTCTGAAAGTGCCCCAGAAAGCCAGAAAACAATTATACACAGATTTAAATAGTAAATTAATAGTAATCACATAAATCAGGACTAACAATTACAGCCTAGTTAACACACTTCTGTTTCATTATCTCAACAAAAAAAATCTAATTTTAAGTTTCTGAAATAATTGCAGGACCATTGTAATGTATTGCAAAGATTTGTGCAGGTGTTCATGTTATTGTGTCCACTCCCAGTAAGTGACAGCTCGGTTTGAGAGGGAGGACTCACTGCCTGGCTATTGAAAAAAAAAATGCTAAGAACCACATAAAGCTAGCCACATTTAGCCTAGAGCATGGCCGGAAGTTTTGTAATTTTCCTTCAAAATATACTTCCTGTTATGTCCCCTTGGAGGAGAGGAAGTTGTCAGTGAAATTGTTATGGGTGTAAGTATAGATATGTAACTGTAGAAATAATAAATAAATAAATAACAATAATAATAATAATAATGATGATAAAAATAGGCACATGTGAAATTATGCTGATGGAATTTGCCATTCAGGAGCTAAATGGGATTCCTTTTGGTGTAATTAGACTTTTACAATAGTTATATATATATATAAATGATCAAATTATTATTTGTCCACATGTATTTTGTTTTTTAAAATAACACATTTTAGGAATGACTCAAAAAATTATTTGTAAAAAAAAAAAAAGAAAAAGTTATGTGGTTCCTTTATTATTTGAAAGTTATGATGGATCACTGTGGTTTAGCATAGGCTTGATTTAGTTTGAGTAAACAATGATGAGCTAAATGTTATGAAGTCGGTTTTAAAGGAAGTTTTGATATAATTATAATAATAATAATAATAATAATAATCATTATTATTATAGTAATTATAATACATTTGGCACATTCTGGAAAATATCATATAATATATAAATATACTATCATCATATTACTGTGTCTGTCTCTATTCTTTATCAGTTAACAGTGTTTTATTTTTCTTTTCAAAAAACAAAACAAAAAAGGGATCTTATTTTGAAACGCGTTGCCGGAAGTCGTCTCATTCCGTCCACCGCTGCGCTGCACTGCACAGCAGCTGCACGCTCTCACGTCCAGTGTTTGACAAAACCTCCCCGGTTTGACTGTGCGAGCAGAACGTGTGCGGCGGTAATGGCTGCCAGGGAGAGTGAGGAAGACAACAAATGAACCCCTGAGAAACGACTCAAAGGTGAGAGCGGGTACATGTCAACTTTCGCCACTAGAGACGCAGCCTTAGCACATTTAAACTATTGTCTCGGCTGCTGTGGTTACTTGTCCACTTGGCTCGCAGGTGTGTGTGTGTGTGTGTTTGGAGGAATCTGGGTGAATTTCTTGATGGCACACACACACACACAAACACACACACACACACACACACGAACACACACACACACGCACACACACACACACAGAGGACAATAAACTGTCAATACCCAGTACTTCTCGTGCATGCCTCCTCTGTGCACCAACGTTAGTTCAATTAAGGAGCGATGAACTTGTTGTAGGTTTAAATTATATAAGCTTGATGCAGACAGACATGTCGGTTGCGCTGGGTAGAGCTGGACTCTTTTGTTAGCTGGTGTTAACGTGATTAGCTAACGTTAGCTAACCAACAACATCGCGAGCTGACGGTGGCCAGGCCACTTAGCTGTTAGCCTGTTAGCCAATCAGCCAAGTGGATGTCTAATTACCCCGTTAGCATGCTGGCTATCATTCCTTGTGACTGGGAGAAAGCGTGTCTCTTCATACTTTTGGGGGGATGTTTATCATCTCCTCAGCTGACAGTGTCTAGCATCATTACATTCAAATTAAGTTTTCATATTAGCCCATTAAATGTCCAGGTATACATGTTGGTATTTAACACTGACAGTGTCATTTCGACTGTTTTGGACTAGCAATTTGAAGTGTTGTTGCAATGCTAACTTGTTTTGCTTCAAACTTTTGGTGTTGTTGTTAATGCTGCAGCTATTTATTGCAATTGTACATATTATATCATTAATATGGTTTTGTACAAGGAAGTAGAGCTGAAACAAAGTCCTTTTTAATTAATTAACTGATGCTGAATCAACAACAAATTTAGCAAAAGATAAATATAATAGCTGATAAGTCAAAACAATTTAACACATCTTTTATATCATTCTATATCATCAAAGATTAAATATCTTTGGGTTTTAGACTATTGGTTGCACAGAATTAGTAATTTAAAGATGACTTTAAAATAATCTGCAGATTAATTGTATATCATTAAAATAATCATTAAAATCTGTCAATACTCTTTACACATTCCTGTTTGATTGCTTAATATATTGTTAGGAAACTCATTAGAATATCTGATTTTCAAAATAATAAAAGGTTTGCAGCTTTAGTGTTGTTTCTTTGGTCCTGCAGGTGGAACGGGATTATGTAACGACATGATTAGGATGAGTGACGTCGACTGAATGATTTGACCTCCTCTGGTTGCGTTTGCTTTTCCACACTCAAAGTAAATGTTTGTGTAGTGCGTAGCAGGTTCTGGGACGCATCACTTGCGGCTCCAGTATATGGTGTCATGGAGGTGTGTGTGTGGATGTTTACAGTACTGTAGAGGTGCTGCTAATGTTTGTTTGTGTGTGTGGTGATTTATGGGTTCTTCCGTTTTGATGTTTCAGTGGATGAGAGATTCTCTCATGCTCTGCCATCGTATTGGAGCGATACCAAGGGAAACGAGAAGAGATGCCGTTGTGCTTATTTGGGCAAAATTGTGTTTATCGTTCAGGGAACTAAAACACATGTAAACGATCAGAATACCACCCACCTTCCTGCACCAGCATGCCAATCATGTGGACAGCATTGTGGAGCTGCTCCATCCGTTTGGTCATGTGACACCTATATTTAAACTGTAGGGAGATTATTTGGGTTTACAGAAGGGTTTGATAACGAATGAAAACACACAGAAGAATTTGAAGGGAAAGTGTGTGGAACAGAAGAAAACTAGTCCACGATAACAAGATAACGTTGGATTATCTCCAGTATGTCATTATTGGGAATTGCAGACCCTGGGGGGGGAAAGAGTTTGTCTATCTTCTGTCGCTGTCAGTCGCTCTAGTTGTCCGTCTTGCATCCTGACTGTGAAACAATACGCTCCTAACGCTTCTGCATTGTAAGAGATGGAGGAAAATAATCCACATTAATTCTAAATTTCGGCTGAACCTAGTGTGAGACTTTGACAGTCCAAGTTAGTTGCACTGATGTGGGGATCTTTGCCCTGGAAATCACTCGGTAGTTTATTGTCGTATACGACAGCGTATCCCTCCACCACGGCTCAGCAAGGAAACACTGTCACATTTCTGTCACTTTGGCGCTAACACAGACTGCGTAGATCTCACATTAGATTTTAGCTGAACCTGAGAATGTTCTTAATTTTTCTTGGATTGTTTTTTTTGGATGTTGGATCCACCAAGTCATCATGCCCAGGATGGAGCGGAAGAATGATTATAGTGACCAATAACACGAGGCAAAGAGACAGAGCAAGCCGGTGAACTGAAAGTTATTTATTGTGGTTTAGCTGCTTAATTCCTCCCATTTACCAACATGGTCAGCAGCAGTTAAGGTACTTTAAAACCTGTTTTACCACAGTTTGCGTCGGGATTTGTTCTTCAGAGTCGTAACTCAGACAAATCTGAACACACAGACATGAAACGTTTATTTTTAGGTTCAATGTGATTTCTACTTTCCTGTCACAGATATCCATCGCAAATAAATGTCAATAAATCCACTTACAGAAAAAAGAAAAAAAAAAAAAGATGCTTCCTGTAACTGCAGAGCTCGCCTGAGAACCATCATGTCATATTAAAAGTTTTCATCAGTGTCCCAGGGATCCTGTGAAGTTGTCACGGGTGTACTGCAATCGTGAACTGCTAATAGCTAATTCCACACACGTTTGCTAAAATATAAACGACTACAGGCTGTAAAGGTTCGCCATTTTACACGTTTCCTGTGTTTTATTTTGAAGTGTTGATCCATATGAAGATATAATTTGTGGTTTTAGGAACTAAAATCCATCTCAGTGTAGTTTTACATACACACGCAAAAATAATACAAAAACTAACACCTGTGTTGTTTCTCCGCAGTGAGGACTAGGATGGTAAGCAGCCAGCCGAAGTACGAGCTGATCCAGGAGGTGGGGCGTGGCAGTTACGGCGTGGTCTATGAGGCAGTGGTGAAGCGCACAGGGGCCCGGGTGGCGGTGAAGAAGATCCGCTGCCACTCTCCGGAGAATGTGGAGCTGGCCCTGCGCGAGTTCTGGGCCCTGAGCAGCATCCAAAGCCAGCACCCGAACGTCATCCACCTGGAGGAGTGCATCCTGCAGCGGGACCAGCTGGCCCAGAGGATGAACCATGGATCCAGCTCCCCGCTCTACCTGGAGGTGAGGACAGAGAGCTCGCTGGACCCCGGGCCGGTGGCAGGACTCTGTAGTTTAACAGTAGCTCTGCACTGACACCACACAGGCTTGAAAACACTGTTAACGGGGCCCAGCATTCAGGATGTGAGTGGATCTTGATCATGTGATTCATGAGGTCCAGACTGACTTGACTTGTTTGACCTGTTTGACGCCTTCTCCGGTTATTTGAATGGTTTTCCAGCAGACGGGTTAAATAAGGGGATAATTGAATGATAAGCAAACAAAGTTTTAGCTAAGTTTGTGCTCAGTCATAGTTTGAAATCAATATCATATCACAAATATTATATCACTGTTTGCCTCATTCATCTGTTGAATGCTTGCGTAGATACTGAGTGATGTTATAGCGAAACTGTCTATGAGCGATTTGGTTTGTTTACGTGCTTCTTCTGCTTACATGCTAATGTTGCTAACATTGGTGACTGGTGGTTACCATTATGAAGTGGCCGACTAAGAGTCCCAGCTTTATATCGCAGTGTTTCCTCTGCCTTAGCTTTGCGTGGCCCGAACTCGTTTCATTCCAGCTCAGTGTGAGAGTCTCTTCTGCATCTCATATCAGATTTTTAAACAGATCCAATCTGAAGCTGAGGGACGCCGGTCCTGAGAGCACTATAGCAGGACCATCAAGTACGGCGTCCTCAAGTGTTACACGTTTCAGGATGCGCTGCGAAGGGGTCGGTTGGAGGCACTTCAGAAAGCCTAATAAAGATACCTTCCTTCATACCATGACTCTCGCACCCAAGTTCCAAGTTTTGGAACTACAATTCCCATAATTTGGAGGCTTCATGGGGATCTAAACAGGAAGTATAATGTTGCCAGGGAAACCAGAGAGTCAGTTAATTAGCTCCAACTTTAGCTCCCCATCTTTCAGCATATATTTGTTTACATTTGGCCATTAAAAGTTAGCAGAATTAGCTGTTAGCAGTTCCTGTTTTCAGCGTATCCGTGGACGTACAGACGACTGTCGCTGGATTACTGAAGAAAACTTAAAAACACAATGACTCTCAGGCAGGTTTCTGCAGCTCATTTGTAATTACGGACAGGTTAATTCTGTGGCGGATAAATTCATTGTTGGGCTCGCTACAGGACTTCAGAGGTCTGTGTCCTCCAGGTTTCCATCCCTTTTTCTTAAATACAGAAAACAAGCAGCACAGACACAGAGCAGGTGCGGCTCTGGAGAATCACAATGAGCAGAAATACCTGGGTTTGATGATTCAGATACAAGATTCAAAATGAAACCAAAAGAAAGACATTGCTTCCGTAGCTGCCCAGACCAAAGCTATAAGCTCTTAGGAAAACCACAGAATAGACCGGACAGTAATAAGTGAAGTATAAAAACATTGCTGTGTTAACGCCGGGCCGTTACCACGTGCTGCTTCACACACACGAGACCTGAGAGCTACAGGAGGAAGTGAAAATAAACCTTAAACCTTAACCTTCAAACATAGCCATAAACACATTATGTGGACCCCCCCCCCAAAGCCAGATCTTGTTATCGTCTACAGAATGAGTCTTTTCTGGCGAGACGTCGGGCCAAACATTCCTGTCCACAAGTCGCAGAGATGAGACAACGGCTCGGAGAGGAATCCAGTGACATTTCAGGACGCGTTTGAAAAGCACTGGTCGGTCGACCACATGCCGCCGCGTCTTAAAATAGACCAACGCTGTAATTTCTGTAATGAATTGGAAGCCTGCTTTGATTTACAGACTGTGTCATGATATCTTGTGACATGTCCTAGATTATCAGAGGGATGAAATATCATTGTCATGTTGCTGCTGGGACGGATGACTTGGCAGATATTTTTTTTTTCTGTGACAATATCAACATAAGTGAAGTCAGTGATTTCATTATTTTTCCAGTAATGCAGTGACTCTTGTTACTTAAACTCATTTTGTAGTTATTAATGTCAAAGGTTGCAAATCTGGATGTTAAATATCAGCTCTAATGGAGCCCTGGTTTTGCTGCTGACGGGCATGAGCAGAAGAGCTGGAAGTTTCTGGTTGGATCGGTGTTGTCAGTGTCGCCCACAGTCACATGATCGTGCAGCCAGGTCGGAGTAGGAGTCCGGTGGGAGTGGGGGTGTTGGTGGGGGGGGGGGCTCCCGTGCCTGTCAACCTGTCTGCAGCCTCACAGGCGCTCTGCCGCTGCTTGATTGTAGTCTCTCAGTGACACGCGGAGCTATTGTCAAAGCTTTCATTCAGTTTTCTGCAGCGTTAGCATTGGACACGTTCCCAGAACCCCTTTTATTCCAGCTCTTTTTCTTTTTTTTTTTATCGCTCCGTAATGTTCCAGTACAGGCCCAGAGAAGAACAAATGATAATAGGGTGGAATTATCTGTCCGCACCGACTGTGGGATAATTTGAATCTATTCTTTCCGGGCGGTGGATTCCTCGGCTAATGACTTATCAAACAATCTGCAGCCATTTGTTTACAGCAGGGATTTCACTAAGAACGGCCTCCTTCACATGTTCAAGAGCGTTTGTTTTACCTGTGAAACAGCTGGCGTGTAGTTCAGCCTCACCTCAACTGACACTTCATCTAATTTTCACTAACAGAACCGCTTCAACTGGTATTTTAACCGCTGCCACATACCGACTGACTGGCGCTTCGTCTTCCGCTGAGTTTCTCACTACATTCATCTCTTGCTCTTGACTCAGTGACAGCCGCTCTACGTCACCTGCTCTCAGCTGCTCTTAACTCTCACTCCTGCACCGGCATCTCGGCTGCATTCATCTCTCAGGAGGCCGTGACGCTCTGTCAGTGCTGCTCATCGCACGGCCGGAGAACCTGGAGAGGCCGCAGCCGAGATGCCGGGAAACTGCTGCTGGATTCAAATTCCTGATCAATGGTTGTAAAATTTTGCAACCGACCTGCTTTTAAATGAATTTCATGTCGGTTCTTTTGCGTAGTTCAAAGCTGCAGCAGACGGTTTCAGGCAGGCTGGACAAACGTCACGATGTTGGTTTGTTACCATGATTTATTTGGCTTCAAGAAGATCTGTCAGCGGCACATTCAGACGTATGTGGCCTGCAGAACTCATGTTGACTCGTTTCTCTTCTTCTGTGTTTCTACTGCAGCTGGTGGAGACGTCCCTTAAAGGCGAGATCACATTTGACCCGTGCTGTGCCTACTACCTGTGGTTCGTCATGGACTTCTGCGACGGGGGTGACATGAACGCCTACCTGCTGTCCCGCAAGCCCAGCCGCAAGACCAACACCAGCTTCATGCTACAGCTGGGCAGCGCCCTGGCCTTCCTGCACCGCAACCAGATCATACACCGCGACCTCAAACCGGACAACATCCTCATCTCCCAGGCCTGCACGCCGGCAGGGTCGTCCGAGCCCACCCTCAAAGTGGCCGACTTCGGCCTGAGCAAGGTCTGCTCCACCTCCGGGCTCAACCCGGAGGAGCCGGCCAGCGTCAACAAGTGCTTCCTGTCCACGGCGTGCGGGACGGACTTCTACATGGCCCCAGAGGTCTGGGAGGGCCACTACACGGCCAAGGCGGATATCTTCGCCCTGGGGGTGATTATCTGGGCCATGGTGGAGCGCATCACCTTTGTGGATGTGGAGACTCAGAAGGAGCTGCTGGGGAGCTACGTGCAGCAGGGCTCAGAGATTGTTCCCTTAGGGGAAGCCCTGTTAGAGAACCCAAAGATGGAGCTGCTGATCCCCGCCAGGAAAAAGAGCATGAACAGCCACATGAAGCAGCTGATCAGGGAGATGCTGTCGGCCAACCCTCAGGAGCGGCCCGACGCCTTTGAACTGGAGCTCAGACTGGTGCGTATCGCCTGCAGAGAGCTGGACTGGGACACGTGATGGATGAGCAAAAAGCGCCACAGACTCAGCCGATCAAGCACATGTCCACATCTCATCAGTCGCTGTTAACCTACATGGTTTTTGTTTTATTTGAACTAGGGAACAATAACTATTATAGTCATTGTTTGTATCCTGGCTTAAACTTCACCCACTTTCCAAGCACATACAGTCCTCTACAAGCTTTGTCTTTATAATCAAGAGGAGAGGTGTGACACCCGCCGCCGCCGCCGCCACCGCTGCTGCTGCTGCTCAGAACTGCAGCTTAGTCTCAGGCTAATCACATCACAGCTTCCACTTCCTTCTTACAGAATCACTGGGATGGGATGGAAGAGCGGATCGAGCCCCAAAAAGTCCCAGATTCAATTAGAAAGTCGAAGGTCGAAGCGACAGTCGGTGACAGTTTGTCTACAAATAACCATCCTGGACTCGGTGCTAATTGTTACCAAATGCAATATGAGACATTATCCTGTGATTTTTACTATGTGCATTTATCCAAAGGGCCAATATGAAAACACAGTCGCCTCAGTGTGGGGAATGTTTTTTGACCTACAAACCGATCTCTGCCTCCTGGTCGTTACCACCAGCATTATCGATACGTGCATCCAGAAGCAGAAACGCCCTGAATGCTCAGGTAACAACAACAAAACAGCACGATGGTATTTGTAGACAAACGTCTCACTAACGAGGTCAGTGTCCCTCAGTCGTCTCGGGAGGGTAAAAAATATAACAAACAAACTTTGGTGCTTGAAGATAAGATTTTTTTTTTTTTGTCATTGGTCGTGTGGGGGTGGGGTGGGTGGGGTGGGTGGGGGTTCGGGGGCGGGGCATTTTTTATCACGAGCGTCCAGCCCTGCAGGTGCCTGTGGTTGGTGTTTTTCCTCTTTGTCCTCGGTGCAGACTTCAAGATAAAGACACACCCCTGACCCGTTTAGTAGAATGTATAACGATGAAGACGCGTCACCTTTATTTATATTGAGCCTTAAACACAAACAAACAAACAAACAAACAAACAAACAAACACTTAGTTTGAATGACAGAGCGCTTCACACAGTCGCTGAGGACGACGCCAGTTTGTCACAACTTGGGCGACTATTTCTCCTGTTGATGATGATGACCCCCCCCCCACACACACACACTGTGCCCCCGCCTAATTAATTTATGCATGTATGCAATTTGCAATCACAATGGTGGCAGATTTACCACAAGAAGGGGCGAAATCAGCTTCAGCAACCGCCTGAAATTAGAGCTGAGCCTCGGAGAGTTTGTTAGCTGTAGCAAGCTAATGTTAGCTAAACAACATTGACTCTTTGAACCGTGTGAAAGACTCTTAAATACACATTTAATTTATGTTAAAAAAAAGAAAAAGCCCCCCAAAGCCCCGCCCATCATTAACAACCTTGCAGGATTTGGTTTCTCTGAGTGTTTACGTGTTGGATCACTCAGACAACAGTCAGCCAATCAGAAGAGAGGCTCAGAGCTTCTTAAATAAATCTTATGGATCAACACTTTAAATACAACATTGGAAAAGTGTAAAATATGGGACGTTTTTTTTTTTTTTTACTTCCTGGTTCAGCTTTGTGCTGCCTTAATGAGTCTTTGTGCACATTACATTTCCTCCGTGCTGTGAAGTTTTATTACCAGTATTTTGGGTAAATGCACTTTCAGTTTCACCTCCAAGTGGTTTCAGTTTTAGGAGCCCCTTTTGACCGTTTCCTTGCCCCCGTCGGATTTCATTGCAGTAATGTTTCCATGCTCCCTGATGGTGAATACAACGTCCAGCGTCCACAACTATGGAAATAACACCCAAGTTGTAGTAAACCAGAATTATCCAATAAAAGTAATAAAAAGTAAAAACCCAAACCGCCGAGCGCACTGCACAGAAAGTCGTCTGTCCTCCACAGACTGGTCACCTGACACAAGTCCTTATGTTGTCTAAACATATATTTAATTACCTGAAGTGTGAGCTGCTTGAATGAAAAGAGCAGCGACATGAACGTTCACACGGAGGAGGGGGGGGGGTATTTCGTGAAAGCACTTTTTAATTTTTGTGGTTTATATTTATTCCTAATAACTACCTGCTGCATTATACGGAGGCGCTCTGTGAGGCTGGATTGAGTGTGATAACTGCGTGGGTATTTAGTTTTATCAGGCGAACACAATGTCAGCCAACAGTCGACTTATGCATGACGTGCCTCTCACCTTCAGGGAAGAAGCGAGAGAAGACACCAGCTCACACAATCCTCCATGAGCCAGAGGATCTCTGCTTTTTTTTTTTTTTTTCCCTTTGACACATAATACTGTTGTGTTTAACCTGATCTCCTTTCACTGTGTCACTGCTCCTCGTTTCCTCGGGCTCTGGATCTTACAGTAATCCCTTTCTTTATGCTTCCGACAGGCTAATTCTAAGCCTATTAAGTTGTTGCAGCACTTGGCAGAGGATCATGCCTGGGACCCCTTTTTGCCTTTTAGGTCATACATAATTTGTGCACTTTTGCTAATTTAAAAAAAAAAAAAATAACAACACCTGTAAAACCAAACAATCTCGGCTTCTTTCGTTGCGCTCGAATTCTGGTGGAAAATCAAATTTCCCCTCGACTTGTTGCCGAACATTTATCTGATACATGGCCTTAAATTCTCCCTGTAGCTGTAATGGTTTTATTCCCTGTCACAATGCGATTTGAGATTTTGCCTTATTTTCAGAAATTCACCGCTTTCTCTCTTTTTGTTTTTCTTTTTTTTGTTTGTCTTTCCTCTGACACTAGAGTGGCCTCGTTGATATCGCTCTCAAAGCGCGCCGATTTGGCAGAGGTTGTGCTCGAGATGCACCGCGGTTTTTGCCGACTCATCGAGGTGCTTTCGGTGTGAATTGCGATACTGCAAATCAGTATTTAAAAAAAAAAAAAAAAAAAAAAAAAGCAAAAAAAGCAAGAAAAGAAATCGCCCTGTCTGGTCTTTACAGGACGTCTTGTTATGCTGCTCGGGACAATGTTGCGTCGCTTCAAGAATGTGGTGTTTTAATGGCTTTCTGCAAGTGAGCGGCTGAAAGTTTGGACACAAAGTAGGTCACCCATATCCTCAAGAGCTCAAAGCAGAACAGAGAGCGATGGGCAGAGTCATTTCCGGCGAGATATCGGGGAGGAGGGGGAGGGGGGGGAGGCTACACCCACAAGACAACCACGGGAGAGAAGCGGGGGGGGTGGCAGGAAGACACTCGGCTTCCTGTGAGGTTTGCCCAACAAAATGTCGGTCTGCGTATCAAGAGATTCACTCCCTTTTCGATTTGAACTTGTACTTCAATTCCTTATGCACATGTGTAAATAGGTAAAATAGGGATAGACAGGTGGACGAACAAGGAAATTGATGTTACATTTGACTGGAATTGTGCTTCGCTTTTTCAGAGAGCCCGACGTCGCATTTTTGTAAAGTTGCTAGTAGATAGGATTCGATTTCTTCATTTGACTTTTTTATTAATAAATTTTTTTTTTCTCAGCTCTTAAGTCGGCTTCACGTTTAACTTCAATCATTGAAACGATGTGATATGCTTCAGGTTAATACACTCGTTTGGTTGTGGCTAAGTGTTAATACTAGTACGTTTTACAATTTTGACCATACATTGTTTGTATTTTTATTTTTACTTTTGTTGTGTGAAGATCAAAAGCTGGTAAAAACCAAACGGGGTCAAACTCCCTTCGTCTTTCTCTCCGGTACTGGACAGAATTTGAAACAGACACTGTCTACCTTTTGGAATTCTGGGAAAAAAAATAAAAAAAGATAAACAAAATTCACCACTTTACGTAGAACTGATCCGATACGACCGGTCATGCAACGTACGGAATTATGCAATCTCCTGGGACATAGTGACTGAGCGGAACTAATATTTGAAGGTTAAAAAAAAATTACTGAGGCATTGAACAATATAACACATAACCATTAAGATTGTAGTTCATCTCATGAACAAACGGCAAGCCAATCGTGTATTCTTTATGAATGAGTTTGTTAGGTTACGACTGACGTACGACTGCAGCATTTTACTAGTCGCAGTGTCTACTGTAATACGGAAAGTCTGGCCAACTGTGGAGCATGAAACACAGTTGAATCCAGTGGTGAACAAAGAAGAGATCCTGTGGGTCCTTTTGTATATGACGTAAAAGAAGAGCAGGAAAATCTTTTTATAATATTATTTGATTTATTTTTTTATTGTTCTTTTTCACCTGCTTGAAAAAACATTTTCCTCCAACCGTTACTATGGTTAAAATTGTTTTCAACACTGTTTCCTGTGAAAGTTTATTTCAAGCCGCTCAGTAACGACTGAAATTACGATAGTAAAGCCACGCGATAGACGATCGTGAACGAAAGTCCTGGACGGGGTAACGCTGAAACGTCCTGTTGTTTCAGATGAAGGTCTGAAACTCGCTAGCCACTAGCACAAGCAATCATCTGCCTCTCACGACTTTTGTATGAAAAAATAAAAACGTTTCGCTCTTATGTCATGTAAGATATTTTGAAGAGATTAAATGAGTTATCCAACAGTGGTGTGAAACACCTAGTCAATCACTGAATCGAACTGAATGAGTTTATTTTTTTTAATAAAAATGAAATCAAATGAAAATATATCCCTTGAATTGCTTCTGTAAATGAACATGGAGCCAATGTGAGAATTAATGCATCACCAGCTCGATCGATTCACTCCTAAGGCCGTACCTGTTTGGTCGCATCGACAACTGCATGTTAGGGATAATTGCTGTAATTCAATTCAAGCCTGTTGGAGCCGTGGACATAAAGAACGCTGCTGGCAACAACCAGGTAGTTTGTGCTTCGGCCTGACTCGTTCACCGTACATACAGTCAACGTCTCAACGCTGTCTGAAAAGAGGTCGCTGCACATCGTGACCGCTTCACACGAAGATGATTCGTGTCATTTGTGGAATCAAGGAAGTTTCAGCTGCTATCTAACAATCCGTTTGCACTTCCTCATCTTTTATGTGTTGCTCGACATTACTATTCTTGTTGCGTGGACCAAAGCTTGCAGTAAATTCCCACCAGATCCTCTGTGCGTAGGGACCAAGA